GAGAGGGTGAGAGGGTGAGAGGGTGAGAGGGTGAGAGGGTGAGAGGGTGAGAGGGTGAGAGGGTGAGAGGGTGAGAGGGTGAGAGGGTGTGAGAGAGTAAGATAGAGAGCAAGATAGAGAGCGAGCGGCGACGGAAATGCAAGTAAAATCGACTTTTTTGGTCTCCACTCGCATTGGAGCTAGCTGGCCTAATGCAGGTGGAGACCAAAAAAGTCGATTTTTCTTGCATTTTTGCCTTTTTGGGATGCTGAGGCATTGCACTGTGACTGTCGCCTTTTTGTCGCTTCTGAGCGGCACTCACCCAAAGAAGGTCCTAGTGAGAAGTCTTGAAAATGTGCAGGATGACAGGTGAAAACAGTAGCACAGTGATACTTAATTTTGCGGCGTTATTTCGACCTTGGAACCAAGAAGTTCGATTCTGACTGCTGTTGAGGGCAAGTCTTGTGACTGTGTCGACCCTCTCGATGAACAGTATAAGGTCGACGGGTACGAGACAAGAGACGAGCCTTCGTCTAAGTTGCCCTAGAGATTGCATTTGGAGGCGTTTCTGCTTGAGCAAGGAATAGGATTGTGCAGCTTTGGTATGCCTATCGTCCGTTCTCCTTTAGCTGCGCCGTTTGTTGACTTTGGAAGAGGTAACAAAGCTCATTCTTTGGGGCATGTAGCGCGAGTATTCATGTAGACGAACAACAGCGACGTTCAGCGATTGTGAAATGAATAGAAGTGAGACATTGAGGGCAGGAAGGAAGGGTAGAGGCAGGCAGGAAGAGAGGAAGGGTAGAGGAAAGTAGAAAGGCTAGAGGGATGCAGGAAGGGAAGAAGTGAAGAGAGGGGAGAGAGGGAAGAGAGGGAAGAGAGGGTAAGAGAGGGTAAGAGAGGGAAGAGAGGGAAGAGAGGGAAGAGAGGGTGTGGGAGAGCGAGGGTGTGTGAAAGGAGGGAGAGGGCAGGCCGCGATGAAAAATGGAAGAAATTTTGAACACAATACGTGGAGCCCAACAATGTCGATTTTTTTACATTTTTGCCGTTTTGGGGTGCTGAGGGCCTTCTTGAACTGTGACTGTTTGGGTATGGGAGGGAGAGAGAGGGAAGAGAGGGAGTTGAGGAGAGAGAGGGAAGAGAGGGAGAGGGGGGGAAGAGAGGGTGGGAGAAGGGGAGACGGGGAGAGAGGGTGGGAGAAGGGGAGAGGGGGAGAGAGGGTGGGAGAAGGGGAGAGGGGGAGAGAGGGTAGGAGAAGGGCAAGAGGGAAGAGAGGGAAGAGAAGGGCAAGAGGGAAGAGAGGGAAGAGAAGGGCAAGAGTGCTGAGATGATTCTGATTGGATTGCATTTCTTGCCTGCTGGAGTGCAATAAATAAAATGTCGATTTTTTTACATTTTTGCCTTTTTGGGATGCTGAGGCATTGCACTGTGACTGTCGCCTTTTTGTCGCTTCTGAGCGGCACTCACCCAAGGAAAGGCCTAGTGAGAGCCTTGAAAATGTGCAGGATGTCAGGTAAAAACAGTAGCACAGTGATACTTAATTTTGCGACGTTATTTCGACCCTGGAACCAAGAAGTTCGACTGCTGATCCTATTTGGGAGCGAGTCTTTGGCTCAGTTGGTCCTCTTGCTTGAGAGCAAGGATCAACGGAAAATGAGACATCGTCGATTCGGCGACTGATTTGCACCAGAAACTAGCCACCTCAGGGCGTTTCCGCTTGAGCAACCGCAGTAGGGTTGTGCAGCTTTGGTATGCCTATCGTCCAGACTCGTTCAGCTGCGTCATTTGGAGATTTTGTAACGGCAATAGTGCTCATTTTCTTGGTTACGTAGCGTGAGTTCTCGCGTAGACCAACAGAAGCCATATTCAGTGATTGTGAAGTGATGAGAAGGAAGGGGGAAGGGAGGAGAAGGGAGACATGGCAGGCAGGAAGAAGGGGAGGGTAGAGGCAGGCAGGAAGAAAGGAAGGGTAGAGGCAGGCAGGAAGAAAGGAAGAGTAGAGGCAGACAGAAAGAAAGAAAGGATAGAGGCAGGTAGGAAGAAAGAAAAGCTAAAGGTAGGCAGGAAAAAAGGAAGGGTAGAAGAAAGGAGAAAGAGTAGAGGGAGGCAGGAAGGGTAGAAGATGGGAAGAAAGGGAAGAGGGGTGTGATCAGAGAGAGGGCAGGATGAAAATGGTAGATGGAGTGGAGTCCACAAGCACTGACCATCTCTGACTCAGGACTATCACATGCTCTCGTTCTCACTCTTCTTGAAGTTTGCACCAACAAGGAATAATCATTAGAAATCATTGATCAGCCAAGAGCTAAGATGTCTGGATTATGCCCTTTCTGGATCTGGATGCCAAATACTATGGCTGCCTGCCAGCCATTGTCGCTTCTTGAGCGGCGCCGTGACTGGCGAAGCAGTGATGCTGGGCTTGGTGTCGTTGTTCGGTTGGGGCAAGGACTGAGGACAGGCTTGACTGGTCATCTTCGAATGCGAGGGTTTTGCAGAGTCAGTCCTCTTGGTGTCGGGCTCATCTGGACGGCAGGGTTCAGCTCAAAGGGGGGTCTCCCCGAAGGAGACTCATAATCCAAAATGCACAAGGATCTAGCCGTCGCAGGGTGATTTCTGCTCCTCAAACGGGGTAGGATTGGAAGATTTGGCATACTTATCACTCATCTCGTCCAGCCGTGTCTTTCGGGACTGGGTAGAGCAACATGGCGAGATCTGATCACTTCGCTAGAGTCATGTACCGTACTGTGAACGAACACAAGTGGAAACGAGTTAGGGAAAACCAGGCCAGTGTGAGAGAGGAGAGAAGGAGGGAGGCAGAAAGGAAGAGTAGGCTAAGGGAAGGGGACAGGAGAGGAAAGGATGAGATGATGGGTGGAGTGGAGCCCTGGCCTCTCGCACCGACCAGCTTTCGTTCCCTTCGTCCTCTGACATGTGCTCAAAAGTACTCTCTACTCGTCCACACGACAAGTCAGGCTCTTCTCGGCGTCAGCATGGTCCCCCAAGAACCTCCTCCCTCTCGACCTCGCCTTCAACTCACCCATGCGCCTCTGCCATAGTGTACCTACCTAGTACGGAACTGCCGTCATACAAGCGCTTGGGGGGACACGCTCCCCTCTTACAATCAGGCAGAAGCTGGTACATTGGCCGGCCGTATTCCAGCCTTGTACGCCGAATCTATCTGAATTAGTGTCTCTTCGTCGTAGTCTGACATGGAGAATCTGGGAACGACAAATTCATGCGAAAGATTCGTCTGACATTTGCCGGTAGAGCGTCGATACGCCGATGATGCACCAGCTATGACAGTAGTGCCACGGCGTTTTTGTAAAGCGGATTGACTCTGGAACGGATGAGACCCCCCTCCGAGGCGCAGGCAGCACCGAGGCTGTCACACCAGCAAGGATGATTCCTGGTTCATGGCGGTTGGCGACGTCCATGTCAAATGCAGTCCATTCCTACTGTTGTAAGAGCTCAGTGACTCGATCTGGAATCGTGATGTGCGTGCAGGTCTCGAAGAATGCCTGCGGAGCTCCTCAAATCCACAAAATCCCGGGTACCGACAATCTCGAGTCGAACAGGCAATAATACCCCACGACAGTATTCATGCATCGATGATATGTTTGCCGGCGCTTATTGAACTGCCTTGTTGGTAGACTAGGAAGTAGATCATCCCGAGTTACATCTTGTTGAGTTTGGTAGTGGCAGAGGTAGTGGCTCTGCTCTTGATCTCGGTAGCGACTGAACATCAAATAGGCATGTATAGATAGAACAATGGTGGCGTTATCCACATCTCAACACCTTCATCTGTGTCACTGTCAACGAACTCAACCCTGTTAGCAGGCGCACATTCTCTTGTGTGGCCATTGCCCGCCAGTCTGCACCGCACCGTCCAAGCGATCGGGCTTTGTCTCTTGTTCTCTGCCTGGGTGTATGAGCGGATAATGTCGAGGAGTCTTGTGGAAAAGGCATCAGATAGAGAAGGAGGAGCGACTTTGAACGGGAAAAGAACGACGCGTTGCAGCGGCCTGGGTCGTCGTACAGAGGGTACAAGCGAGGATAAGAAGAAGTAGGCAACGTGGGAACCGCAAGGGTTCCAGAGCCGAAAACGTTGAGGCGCCTGGAGACAAGTTTGACATGGTCGCAGTTTGCTGTTCTCGATGAGGGAGGTGACTCTCGTGGGCAAAAGCCATCAAAGAGAAGACGGGTCGGAATCGGTGACGATGAGATTTGCTGGCCACTTGTTAGCGGTATTGACGGGATCTAGTGCGTTCAACAGAGGAAGGCGTTTCGTTTCACGCCCATACTCACACTCGGCGAAATCGACAGATAGATTCAAACAGTGAGAGTCTCAATGGATGGAACGATTATCGGTCTCTTCACTTCTTTACGCCCTCCAGAAAGCACACTTTGTGTTCCAAGCGGCAGAAGTGGGAAAAAAGGGGAGGGCGACAGGACTCGTTAGGAAGGAGTTGTCAATATAACCGCCGGGGGTCGATATCGTAGACAAAATGCGTGGTCCAAAAATAGCAGGTACACACGTCATCGGCCAGTCTTTAGCCCTTTGAAGGATGGCTCTCGAAAGCGAAATACCTATTCAATTGAAGTCGGTTGGACGTAGTTCAAAAATTGTGTCGCGACGCGCATGCGAACCGATGAGAGCAAGTGATTGACGGCGCAGCCTGTCCTTGGCCTGGATGAATAAGCGCCCAGCAATTCGCATGTGACACTAGCCTTTTTGATTGGATGACAGTGCTACTCGCCTCAGCCTGCGCTCTTTCCCTGAACCAACGGGCCCGAAGGCTTCGACTCCTCAAGAGACCGACATGGCACTGTATTGATCAATGTGAGAGCGCTTGCTCTCCTCTGTAACAAATGATATCGCCCGATAAAGAAGCCACGAACGTGCAGAGTCACGAACAGGCCAATCTGCACGGTAAGAGCCTCGAACGACGGGAACGCAGGATCAATGGATCACTGACGCTTTGTAGACAAACGGTACGCCATGCAGAGCGACGACGGCGAACGTCCTCACAAGATCCGCCGCTTATCTGACCTTCAACACGCCTCTCCGGCTTCCCTGGTGGAAGACCTCAATCCTGAGATTCCTTCCTCGAAGCTGCACCGTCAGCTTCCATCTCCGTCTGCCACAAAAACCGACGAAGTGAGTGGATGCAATGCACGTCTCTACAGGGGGAAAGATGCTGACAAGGCGACGCAGTTGCATGGCGAATCGTCTCCTGCAAACCCTCTCGTACCAGACCGAAAGACAAGGTCGCCGGATAGACACACCGTGCTCCCATCCGCACAGAGAGACCGCTCGCCTCCAGAACCATCGGACGGCGGTGCTTTTGTGGAGAAGTGGTTATCAAGCATTCCACCTAGCGAGAAATGTGACATCCAAGACGACATGAGTCTGCCACCCTCGAAACGATCTCGGTCCTCAGATTCGTTAAGTCGCCGACTTTCGCAATCTGGTGACGGCACGGAATCCACGGTTTCAGCAGACAAGAAATACTCGGCCTACAAAGATGTGAACTACCCGGTGGTTTTGGAGACAAAAGGTAGTTTTATGCGCTCATCTGATGCTGGCCTCGTGAAGGAAGACCAGATATTGTGCGAGAAGCTTCTCTACACGCATCAACCGCGTCCCGATCAGTCGTTATTTGATGACCGATTCAACAAATTCCAGACTCTGATTCGAGGCCGATCCGAAGCTCGAGTCTTCCTCGACCTGCATCCTCTCCTCGTCCCATCGGTTGAAAACCTGTACATCAGTGGGCGAGAAGAATTTCACGGTCTGATTGAAGGTCACAATGACCCCTGGGTCAAAGGGATTTCGTTCTATGGACCCCGACCGCAGCCGGACCGTACGTACGGATTCAAATGGTCCAACTTTACCGAACTTCAGCGCCGGAAGCTCGGCATCGAACCTTTGGAGAAGTCGTACTACACGGCGCGCGAGGACATTTATTTTCCCTTCCTGACCAGCGAGGTGAAGTGTGGAAAACAGGGCCTTGACTTGGCAGATCGACCGAATGCTCATAGCATGACGGTTGCACTCCGGGGAATCGTGGACGTCTTTCGCAAGGCCAACCGTGCTTCGGAGGTGCACAGGAGGGCATTGGGATATTCCATTTCGCATGACGACCGGAGCGTGCGTATCTATGCTCACTATCCTGAGGTGGATGGTGAGAACACGTCGTACTTCCGCGAGACGATCAAAGAACTCAACATTGGAGACGAAAGGGGCGAACAGAGATGGATCAGTCACCAATTTACGCTCAACGTTTGCCAAATTTTCGCCCCGGCTCTGCTCAAGCGACTCACCGCGGTGATCGATGAGCTGCCTGATCCGCTTACAAGGACACTCGAACCGGCCAGCATCGATGAGCTCAGCGTACAAAGCTCGCAGGACGATAGCAGTGCGCCTGAATCTCAGGATGAAGGGTTTCGCAAACCACCGCGCGGGAGGGGCTTGAATGCCGAGTTTCGAACCATGATTCAAAACTTGCAACGGCAGCTGGAGCAGCAACGAAAAGACTCTGAGCAGCAACGAAAGGATGCAAAGGATAGGGAGACCTTGTTGGTGGCTCAGCTAGAGCAGCAACGAAAAGACTCTGAGCAACAACTAAAAGACTCTGAGCAACAACGAAAAGACTCTGAGCAACAACGAAAAGACTCTGAGCAACAACGAAAAGACTCTGAGCAACAACGAAAAGACTCTGAGCAACAACGAAAAGAGCTTGTGCAATTGCTCAGACAGCAGAGTGATCAAATCAAGCAGCAAAATGAACAACTCAGACACCAAAATGAACAGATCACAGAGCTTCTGCTGAAGCAGTGATGCGTCTCAAGTCTTTCCAGTCGTCACATCTTCTACTGTTCAACATGGCACCAAGGATTCCCGCCGCCTCCGTCGGTCAAATTTCTACTACCACGGCATGCTTCTGATGTGGTCAAAATGAGAAGTATCAGTCCAGAGTCAAATCCAAGATCACCTCGCCTCAGCTTAAAATATCACTTGACCGACGGGAGGACAACGAGGGTCTCGAAAGGAAGAACAATGCCACCACACATCCGCGATTCGGCGCGTAGAGACCTATCTGTTACTGGGGACGCGACCAATTATCGCTTTTACCCTGGGCCACCTGAAGTTAGTCTTCTTGGTTCAGCTGCAAGGGCGTCATCAGGCAACCTTTGCACCGTCTCCTCGGATGTCTCAAAGTGACCCCTGTTCTTCGCATTAGGGCTCGAAGGCGCAGCTGGATTGGATACAGTGGACTCCAGAGCCTGACAGGCACATAGCCTCTTGGTCACAATTACACCGAGGTGTGATGGCATCTTCGTGCCGCAGCATGCGTCATTGGGGCTGCTGGTCTACGGATATGTCAGGTACCACACGCTCAGGAGTCGACAATCCCCCGAACCGAACCGCAAAGGCGCCTGACCAGGCTCGTGTAGCAGCTGTGAACCTACTACTTCTAGAGGTATAAGAATGCGCTCTAGCCCTGCTTTAACCTTCGTCCCTCTTTATATGTCTAACTCCTTACTCACACCGCCCTTCTCCAACAAGCGCAAGATGCAGCCTATTGTCGACATCAATCACCTCCTCAACGACGCTGATTTTGAAATTCAGGACGAATACGATTCGGTTTTAGATGGTGCTTTCGACATGAGGAGGAAGTTCTCCTCCCTGTTGATGCAGGCGCGGCAATTGAAGACGATATTGCTCGCTAAACAGGCTGAACTGGATCGTTGTATCGCTCAGCGTGGACGACAGCGACCAGGCGTTCCGAGTATTGCCGAAAGTACTCGGAAAAAGCTTCGACAGCAAACTCGCAAGTTGCGGCAGTGTATGAACGAGAACAGGCTGCTGCGCATTCAGAATCAAAAAATGAGCAATGATTTGGAAGCTGCGCACAAGGAATTGGAAAAGATTGATCACTTACGGTGCACTATCTGTATGGTGGCTTTTAAAAATACCACGATTCCATGCGGTCACAGTGCCTGCAGGGAATGTTTGGAATTCTGGCTTGGACAAGGCAAAGGCTGTCCTTGGTGCAAACGAGGATTCCAAGAAGGCGACATTCGGGATATTTACCTTGGGTCCAGTAATGAAACCGGGAACACCCGGGAGGATGATGACGACCAGACAGATATCATCTCGCTGAGCAGCGACAGTGAGTAGAACATGAGGTGCATACGGACAGCGTAACGCTACATAAGAACACACGGAAGACTTCTTGGATTCAATCTACGCTCTTAACCGCATCACCTGCTCGTGTCGTTCCTTCTTTACGACTTGTCCTTCCGTAACTGATTTCTATTCGCTTCTAGAGATGACGGAGGCTGGTCCTGATAGTCAATCTAGCTTTCCGGAGTCTATTGAGGGGCAAATTGAGGCATCTAACGCATAGAAGACGACGATAATAGTGCAAGCTTCTTTGCAACGAGTCGCCAGATTGCAACATGAATCAAGTCTTCAATAACATCACGCAAGAGAAGTTTGCAAAGGGGAAAGATCAATGCCCCGAAGGTCAGCAATCAATGAAAACCCTTGTTTATGGTGGCTTGCAGGGAGGCCACCCAGAGCCAGAAGACCCTGAATCAGTGGGCTTGAGTACCGTAACAAGGGAAAGACTACCTTGGAAAGAGACCACGCAACCCCGCCAAGAAGTATCAGTGTGGCCCAGTTGAAGGTTGTACTGTAAATACTCAATACGGCGCCGATGATGCTCTTAACCGCAGGATACTGCTTTCAAGGGGTCAAAGGGATCCAACTTGGCGGTGGATATGGTATTTCGCTGAGGACGACGGCGAGACAGGCACCGTCGTGTTGGAACGGCGGAACCAGTTGACGACCCCATCGAGGAATCAAGCCTCCGTACCGCAACCGTGGACATAGGAGTATAATTGTGAGCTATGTCAAGAAATGCTTTTCAAGACCATGTACAGCATAGATCATGTTGGGAAAGAAGTCGTGAGTACCCTCCTGGACAAAAATCCGGACAGACAAGCGAAGACCTTTAGAAGCATTAGCCATATTAAGTGCAGTCGACCGTACGCCTTTATCACGCTCGAGCTCGGCATGTCATGAATCAGTTTTTCAACAGACGCTAGGTTGGCCTGTAGCCTTATCTTCCACTGAAGTGCCTCTCGTTTCAATCGTTGCTCACGATCATTTTGCACTTGACGGCGATGTTGAAGTCTTCTCGCATGTGCCGCAGCTTGGTACGCTATGTTTCGCGTTCGATTGATGACCCGTTGATACTCCGCACGTTGCCTCCGCTCGCGTGCTTGTAGAAGTTTTGATGCTTTGAGATTGGCGCCGTCTTCCAGATCTTTGGCAAGCTGAGTTTGTGCTCGGGCGACCAGGTGTGATAAAGCAACAGCAGAGAAAGTGGTCATGGTGTGCAAGCACCATGGTTGCTTCGCAATTGCTTTGATCTGGGAAAGATGTCAATATAAAATCTACGGTCTAGTCTCGCCCATAGCTCACTCGTTCCTTCTGTCTTGTAGTGGCTGACGGGCTATGTGTCAAAGCATGCTGAACCGTGCTCAACACCCTGCCAACGCAGGATGAGTATTTGTTCTGTGTGATTCTGTTGATATTGCTTCGATGAACTGCCGCGTGACGGATTCTGCGTGAGATTTGTAAGTCTATCATGAATTGGTCTCTTCGGTCTTGCATGATCCTGCAGTTCAACATAGATTGCCTATTGTTCAGACAATGGCGAGAAACATCGTCAATGAGGAGTGTCAGCTCTGCAGCCTGTGGGCAGATCCATGATCGAGTCGAGAGTATATCTGGGGCCACTGCCTCACAAAATGTGAATAGCGCATGTTCGAGATCATTCTGCCATTGGGCTAGTAGTAGATGAGTTTTAAGAAAGCTATACGAGTCATGTTAGCTCTCCGAATATGACTAGGTATAGACACGAACGTCCCTGCATCCACCAAAATACTGTGAGACTACCTGAGCCTCAATCTCTGTTCCGCCCGGCATAATGATCACGAGTAGTATTGAAGACTTGGTGTTTCTGTGATTGATAGTCGAATAAGTTCACTTTCAGGAACTGAGCCTCCTTTTTAAGATGTCGGACTGGCGAGGTACTCTAAGATTTCAGCTCTCAACTCAGAAGTCCCTGTCTTCGCTTATTCAATAGTCTCGCCGGGGAAAAGGGGCACGGATCGTTTCATGATCCCGTTCAGCTTTTGTGGATAGAATGCTATACCTTCGATAAGGATCAATGGGATCATTGGTGAAGGCTCTTATCGAAAGAATTCAAGCTAACCTTGCGCCGAACAAACACTGATGTCATTTCGATCTCGCACTCACACTCGCACCGGCACTGACCTAGAATCCATAGATCGCTTCGTCAATAGAGCTTGCGAAGCTTCTTGACCTGCATCACATTATGGTGATACTCCTGCTCTTTCAAGTCGTCTCTCGGTCGCAAGCTACGCCGGCGATGCGGGTTTTTGTTTGCCTGTAGAGATCTCGGAAGCCAATCTTTGTCACTAATCTGGCTTTCAGGGGTCCAGCAAGGATTCCACATAATCCAATAGAGCATTTCACCATCGTGTTCCTTTTTCCCGATGACAGTATACACACGAGAAAGAAGGCCGCCCCCGCACTCTGCCCGACACTTCCGCGCATGCGGGTCGAAGGCCGACAGCGTACCTTCGAGATTGGCCCGAGTCTTATGGTAGAGATCCTCCAACCTAATTCTAATATCATCCTCAAGCTTAGCCGGAAATTCAGTCTTGGCGTTGGTCGGGACAAAATTCCCTAGGCGCATCCATGTGTCCTTGGCACCCAATAGATACTCGTACTCCCCATGTTTGTAACAGTATCTCCGGTCGTAGGCTGCGTCGTGGTCCCAGAGTCCATCGGAGGGAAGTCCCACGTCCTTCGAGTCAAGAGAAGGCATGTCCCTTAAGTTCTGCGCTCTGGTGTTGTGCTTTGCCATATCCTGAACGGCGGCGACGATACTAGCCTCTTTTGCTGCGCAGACCGAGCAGTTCAAGCAGTTCAAGCTGTCCAAGTCGTCCAAACAGTCCGAATAGTCCGAATAGTCTGCATGCAGAAGCGACTCTGTGTCACATTCTGCCATGATTTCTTCAAATGTCTTCGCTAATAGTTGAGACGGTTCATGTAGTCCATTTTCGGACAAATGCTTCGAAGTCGACGGCAGGAGAGGCGGAGTGATTCGGCGGGAGTTAATTCTTGGAACGAAAGGCATTGTCTTGCCAGAGCGAAGAACTCGTGCGTCTCGAACTCCTTGAAGCCGGGTTTGAGGTATCGTTGAGATAATTGATTGCAGATCGGGCGGTATCTTCTAAGGAGTGAAATTCAAAGAGTAAGAAGGAAGACAAGATACGAAAGGGCACATTGAGGGTGAGCGACCGTACCTCTACCCATCGGCGAGGGATTTTGCCAAGGACACAGCCTCTGTCCTCGCGCTCGTCGACGACAAGGTGAGACAGGATGACAGGAAGCAGGGCGAATCAGGTCGATGAGTAGGGGGCCATGATAGCACCTGCTTGTCCATAGTGGCCTCGGGTCGGCTTCCGTCACTGCCAATCGAATCTTATTCGACAGAGCCCTGCAGGGAGGTCACAAGTCGCAGAGGGTGGCTCGTCCTTGTGGTTGGAATCGTCGTCTGCCCTGGCAGGGGTGGGAGAATGCCTAGGGGTGTGCGTTCGGCAGCCATTGTTTTCTACATCAGGCTTTGCTAGCGACATGACAAATGTGTTCCTCTCCGAGATGCCACGGCATGATGCCTTCAATTAACTGTATCCCAAAACCCCTCGGCTGCCCCTGGTGTACACTTACCAGATTGACCGGTCAAGTCACTGATATCGCGCCTCCCCTTTATGGTTCGGACTAAAGATGTTGGGGCAACATACCGTACCTACCTACCACAGCATTTTGTCTCGGGTGACTCGGTTCTCAAGGAGACTGACTCTACGGTGAATTTCTACACTCGTGAGAGATTAAGCCTGGCAGCCTTTCACTTTCGCAGCCACAAATCTTGCAATCCCTGCTAGATTTATGGGAGGTGTAATAGCTGAGATCTCGTACGACAGGCGGTAATCACCATCTAGATTCTGTCGCAGCTTCTGTAGCATATATTCCACTGGCGTCTTGTCATTCTTGTTTATGCCGAAAACCCGCTTGTAACATTGGCCTTAGGTACTTTTCTAAGCTGATCGAGTGCTGGTGACGGGTGAGAGACATCAATGTTGACATGGGTGAGCGTAGCATAATAGGAGGTGGAAGATAGCACTGCTAGTCGCAAGGCAGGAGAATTAGACCAGTTGATCTAGATTAGAAAGAATCCAAGCTGTTGTAGGAAGAATATTCTGCACAGTCTCAGCCACGGACCAGTGTCCACTACCGTGGACAGTTCTCCGTTCACGACAGATATGGACTTCGTCTCCTGCGTACATTTGTTCTAACTAGTCCTATTTTGGCCACCTAGTCTCAGATGGCGCCGATCTGGTCATTTTCTGGAGCCTGCGTCCAGTTGGATCAATGCTGTAAAACGTTCTCAATTTTCTATGTATGAAAGGAGGTTTCAAAAGATTTAGATCACAGTATTTGAGCAGAACTGGCCGTGATTACCGTATTTGCGTGTGAAAGGTGTGATCCGCAATTGCCCCACATCGAAGACAGCTCTCAGAGACGCTAAAAAGAATTATCATGTTGTGTCCCAATACACGTAGAAAGTGATGCTACAGTACACATTATCGATCCATGGCCATAATCCCTCCATAAATCTCTCCAGTCTGGTTATTTCTCAAGACTGAACCTCTCATCGGGCCCGATCATCTCCAATTCGTCGCCTTCTCTGGCCCCACAGTCCCATCGAACCGTCACCTTGTCCCCTCAAGATTCCCGAATGAAGAGATCGAAAGCCATATCAAACCGGGACAACTCTGTGGCAGAGTACCATGTTAGAAGTTTAAGCTTCGTCGGGTTGCTCCGCTGGACCCTCTCGAGGACCTGCTCGACAGCAACAGCACAAAGCCAGACAGGGTACTTGAATGAGTGCCCAGCCCATCTGGGCAATCGATCCGTAGTAAATAAGGTCGTAGTATGGATATTTGTCGTTCTTGCCGAACCAGGTGAATGATGTTTTATATCCATGAACGTTACCAGCAAGGATAGGATTGGCAATAAATATCAAAATTTGACCGATTAATAGACCCCAGAGAAGAGACAGTGGGTGATAGACTGCAAAGATGCCACCCAATAAAGCGCAAACAGCGGAGGTGACGCAGAGAATGATACTGAGCAAAATAACACGGCTCATAAGATGCTCGAAGATCTGGTCGAAGCGATCGTGAGGTACGTTGACAAGGTCGGTCCTTGCTCGATCCTGAAGAACAATCGCAAAGTGTGCGATTGCGCCATTAAAGGCCGCTATAGCGAGACTGATGAGGGAGAAGAAGCCCACTCCAAGGCGAACTAGCGTGGTACCCATTTTCTGGAAACTGCACAAATACCAGATGATCGTCGATTGATGAAGGAGGGCTTGATTTGAAGCTGGATTGATTCTTGATTGCGTGATGAGGATATTCGAAAGGGCGTGCCTTCCATGAGATATATATAATGGTAGCAGTCCTCACAAGAAAGAGTAAAATGTCTTTCGATTCTGCCTTAGAGTGGGCGGTGCAGGGCTGACCAGACACGGTTTTGGTACCTAAGGGGCTAATGCTGGGTTGACCGGGCACTGTCTTGATGTCTCAAATGTCCGCATTTACGTGTAGGTAGCGGTCGATCCACCTCACCTGCCCAGACAACCTTCCCAGACAAGGTGGGAGTGGAAGGTTCACCACGCCGAGAAGCGAGGGATCCTCACCGATCAGTGGCTTGTACCCAACGGAGAATTGGGAAGATATTGGACCACGGCTTCGAGCTCATGGGTTGCGAAGCCTCTATTCATGAGCCACCAGCGCCACCAGCGCCGGCAGCGCCGGTGACGGCGGATGGGCCTGCAATGGTGGCCCGAAGGAGTGACGAAATCGACGCAGGGCGGTGCAACGAGCTTGCTCAAACCGACCCGGCGTCTCCTTATTGCTGGGCCTTGCCCACGAGTCTCAATACCTAGAGCATTGTGAAGTGGCAACTTCGGCACTTAGATATTACCGCAAAACAGTCTTCAACCATGCGCCGTAGGCGCACGCTTGAAAACAATCCGTGTTTCAGGCCTGACTTTCGTTCGGGGCTTCCATGATTTCACACAAGTGCGGATGGCCTTTTGCAGTGTCAGGAATAGTCGCAGCTTTGAATAAACTTGGCTCGTACTCTTTCAAAACACAAGAAACCTGTCAACTACTTGTAGATGGCTCCAGTGTTGAAGTCATCGAATTTCTCTGGAAGGGGCCCAGGGAGTTCAGAATGCCTCGCTGTGGGAACGTCGCTTACGGCCTGTCCAGAGGGCTCGATCGGCTGAGGAAAGCTCAGATAGTTCGGCAAGGAGCTAAGACAGCTGGGGATAGAGTGGACGTTAGAAAATGATATAGGCCTCAGAGTCGAGTCCGTCACTGAGAAGCTCTGTCCTCTCCCGTCTGTTAATCCCCGAGATCGTTCTCCTCTGAGTGCATCCTGCCTTAGTATCACGCATGTATGCGATGTCAGTTGCGAAGAATTAGGTGTTGGAGACAGGGGAGCAGATGTAATCAGTGTGTGAAAAACGGGAAAAGTTGTGTCTGGAGAGAACGGAAAGGCGTTCGTGATGCAAAGTAAGTTCTCAATGCTATCGAAAGCTATCCTCTCGATTTTTACATTAGCTTCAGGAAACTCGAAGTATACCGACAAACCATTCAACAACTTGAAAGAGAGAGGCGGAAGCTTCATGACGCAATACGCGCACTGATATCCTCGCCGAAATTTCAACCAGAGAAGCATCCTGAAACAATGAAGGCGCTTTCTGAGGTAGAATGACGCCGTCTCCAGCGGCTGCATTTTGATGCTAACCACCAAAGTCCGATGTTCTAGAGATGACTTTTACGCGCGAAGAAGTTGGCCACAGCCCCTGTCAGGAAGGCGAGAGAACTGTTCCCAAGACTCGTTCACGTCGATATGGAGCGAACGAAGGAGATCAAAATTTCCAGGTATTCAGAACTCCGAAACCGGCCTCGATCAACAATTTGACCGGTGATTGGAGAAAGTCTTTGAAGCAACAGACGGCCGAGTGTCATAGAATGTGCCTTAACTATGTCTTGAATGAGGAAAGTTGACGTCTGCGCTGCGAACCGATGGAGATGCAGCCACGGGGCCTAGTGGAGGTTCGGGGGCCGGCATAACCATGGCTGTAGATCGAAGCCTAGGATTAATTCGCGTTTGCTTCCTACTGTCCCTATCTTCTGTTTGCTCACTTTCGAACACGGCTAGAAACCCAGAACTGAAGCCAACGGATAGCGAAATGCCTGACATCGGCGATGTCGCTGTTGGTACTACCCAACCATGATATTGTTGCAAATTCCGTTGACCCACATCCTCGAAGGCTACATGTCACTCATCAAGGAATCGACAGGGTCTGTAGCTCACCTCGTGCAGCCCAAGGCAAGCAAGGATTGACTGTTCACTCGACATACGAATGTCCCAAATGGTGGTCAGATATGGGAAGCGAAACTTCGAGCCAGAAGTCGGTATTACCCCAGGATATGCGGTACGGATCGTTCAAACTGGAATTTTTTCATGGGGAAGCCAAATGCGGTAATCTCCACAACACTGCTACAAATCATGCTATGTGTTGGACTAGGCTGAGTTGCGCGCGCTGTCAGCACCGTCTTTACAAGCCAAATACTCACGCCTAGCGTCTTAGCGCCTCCGGCGGAACGCCGACGCCCTCACATTCCTTACAACTTTTGCAACACCATCAATTCACTGTTTCCAGTCATATATGACTATATTCTCGGGCTTCACAAGGAGGCTTTCTCTCCGTCTAGAACGTCGCCCGATAGAACGCCGCCCGAGGACGCCCAATGGCTCCACGCGGCGCGCCGTGCGACGGCGAGAAAGCCCTCCCTTGGAACGCTCCTTTTGCCTATATAATAGATATGGATCTCCCTCCGAGAGAGGGAGATCAGACTCGTCAATACATCCCATTTAGCCCCCAAATATCGCCTAGAACTGAGCGTTGCATAACACTATGCAAAGCACCTATGTGCCAAATTCACCGTACAGCCCGGTTGAAACTGTTTCACTCACTACTGCTATCTATTGACCTTTGTTGCCTGGTCATCCTTTCCAAGCACAGCAGGTGGTACGCTCTCCTGCACGAGGTATACTTGCGGAATGTACCTTCTGCAATGATCTGCCTAGGTGTAGGGCAGGCTTTCTCGTGTCCATCGGAAGCGTCGTCATCCCTTGGTGGCCAATGATCTGGCAGTCGTCGCAAAAGATGTGGCCACGCTCGTTCCGACATTTTTGAAGCTGTCAAAGCAGATATCACGCTGCAGATGGTTGACACGTTCCAACTTCTCCCCTTTGGCTTCCAAATGACTGTTCAGCTCTTGAAGGCGGAGGCGAAGCAATCTACTGCCTTTCGACATCGCTACACCGTGTTGTTCTGCCGTCATGGCTTGTCCTAGATGGTCTCGGTATGTCGTCGGAGGCGTAATAGCTCTGCTGATGCTAAGCGTTGAGATCCACGATCTCGTCTTGCTTGGTCAGTAATCCGCTATTCTGCTGCCGCGCATGTCTCACGAGAACGCCAAATTTCTTCTTGATATCCAAAGCGAATTCTAAAATTGTGGAAAACTGGAGTCAGGATCATCGACGAGTTGACTGGCTTCGACGAACGACTGGGCTCCGGCCATCTTCCAGGATTGTTATGTTATGACAGAGTCGGAAATGAGACAGGGACAACAGTGCCAGATAAAAGGAGGACAATCTTGAGAGATCGGCAGAATCCCTACGGCAGGCATGCTTCCTTGACCCCTCGATGCTGGTCGTGGCAGTGCCTGGGCAAAGGGCCGAGAAATGTATGATTACGGCCATCCCCTCGCAGGCCCCCTCTTTGTCTGCGCTTCATCCTTCCTTTCTCTCTTCACCTTACTTTAGCCGTTCATCACTCCGGTCCACCGAACACCAAAGTCTCCTCGCGGACTCGCAGGCGCTTAGGTCAGGCAACTTGAAAACCAAAGCCTGACCTCCGCATAGTGTTAGCAAGCCATCTCAATCATCAAAGCCAGCCTCGAAACAATTCCCTAGCGCACGTTTGGTCCATCGATCCAGGCGATGCAAGGCGCGTAATACAACTTCCTGTTACGACCCAAGTCTCCCTGCTCCAAATTTGGGGAGCTTGCTGTTGCCAGTGATCCGCCGGCTTTTCTCTGTAGCGTCGTTCGAGAATGCCATATCGAGTTCCGGAAATGGACCTCTTCTCCATTCAGCGATGATTATGCCAGAGTGCCTTTCCAGTATTCCGGAAAATATCGGGCTGTCTTCCAACGTGCCATAACTACGTACATCTAGTTATGGCACGTGACTCACTTGACGTGATCACCGTGCGGTTCCTCTCTGTAATGCTTCGGCTGGCCTCTGGCACCCTGCGTACGCAGAGCGTATACTGTTGACCTCCGGGATGATGGATTCACGTCTTACGCGGTGTCCAGCATGAAGCGCCTAAGAAGAATGAACCAAGATGAGTCCACAAAGCAAGGAAAGACATGTTGCACTCTGTATCCATGTCAGATTCTATGTCTCGTATTAGCGTATTCAATTGCAGACTGTTCTTTGCACAAGCCCTAACCCGACCACCCCCGCCCCTTCTCTCTCGCTCTTGGGTGAACAATACAATCGCTCTGCTCTGTACTCGTACGTGGTTTAAACGGGGAGCAGGGTTCTCCAAGTCAGCTCGCCAAGCCAGTCTTCGAGATCACGAACGTAATACTGATAATAACGCTGGGAGTCTTTTACTCGTGCAGATTTGGGGGTGGTGTCGATCAAAGCAACCTAAGTGATCCTCAAGTGGAAAGAACTTCCGTTGAATACTACACCTTCGTGCGAGTGACCAGCAATCCAACAACATATAGACTCCGTAACCGGCATTATGTTGTGCTTTGACCAAAAACTTTTGTGGCCACTGATTCTTCGCATGCGAATAATGCGCATAAAGGTCTTTTCAATATTGCCAATCCGTCAAATCTGGTAAGTACAGACCTCGACACAACCGTCATTTTGTCCCCCCAGCTCTGAGGAATGCTTGAAGGTGAGGCTGCAATAGTGATATAACGAAGAAGATAAAAGGAGGCCGTGTTCTTTAACTCTTAGCCTGGCTGGATGTCTGCCTGCTTCTCGGTCTGTTTATATTCCATACATATAGGACGAGTGCGAGTTGTGTTGTCCATACAATAGAAACAAAAGTTCGCAGAGTCAACGTGACGAAAAGAAAATCTCTGATAAGCAGGTAGACCCGGCCTCCTAATGTCAACCAGCAGACATAGATTGATAAGCTGCACCCAAAGACCCTGGCACAGGAGCAAAACTTGCGTCGTACATAGAGCAGAAGCCGTCTGGTGTTGCAGGGGAGTTAACATGTTCACTCCAACGTTAACCATGTGGTGCTTCGATAGCTCTGTAAGTCGACTCACCGAGACAGATCACCGCAACCATCGCAGTAGAGCTTGTGAGAGTTGCTTCCTGTCAACCGGTTTGGGGATGTAGTCATTCATGCCTGCTGACAAGTATGTTTCCTGGTCGCCTTTCAAGGCATTTGCGGTCATGGCGATAATAGGCAGTGCATGGCCCAGAGCCCGGATCTGCTGCGTGGCTGTAACTCCATCCATCACCGGCATGCTGATATCCATGAGAATTACGCAATAGCTAAGCGGTTTTTGCTTGATTATACGAACGGCTTCTGCGCCGTCATCGGCAACGTCCACTCTTTCGCAGCCAAATCCACGTAAAAGCCGGATCATGATTGTCCGATTGATGGCATTGTCTTCCACTACTAGGATCTGCTTCCCCTGGACGACACTTTTGAGATCAACGTCAGGTGAAGTATCAGCTCGTAGCACGGGAGCTACATTCACCTTTTCCATCGCCAAGGTAAAATAAAAAGTGCTACCTTGGTGTCCAGAAGTGCGAGCGAAACCGATAGTACCGCCCATAAGCTCCACCAAGCTCTTGCAGATGGAAAGACCAAGGCCGGTGCCTTTGTATCGTGTGGTCGACGAGTGGTCCAATTGAGCGAATGGAGTAAACAACATGCTCTCCGCCTCTTGTGAAACACCGATTCCAGTGTCGGTCACTTCGGTCCTGATGCTAAAGGAAGCTTCATCTTCATGCGATACAAGCACTTTGACTCGCACATAACCATGTTCTGTGAATTTGATAGCATTCGATACCAGATTTTGGAGGATCTGCCGGTAGCGGAGTGGGTTGCCTCGGGCAAATGTGGGTAGGCCAGGATCCAGCTCCACCTCGAACTTCAGCCTGTTCTTGGAACCAACGTTGAAACACCGCCGCACCGCTGCAACGATGTCTGCAATATTCATCAATTCTTGACTATTAGAGAAGGAACCAGAGCTCAATTTTGAATAGTCGAGTACGTCATTGATGACCTGCAACAGGATGGCACCGGATTCGTCAATAATGTCTGTAAGTTCCTTCTGCTCGGCTGAAAGGCCGGTGTCGATAAGAAGTGCCAACGCAGACAACATTCCGTGCATTGGCGTGCGGATTTCGTGGCTCATGTTAGCCAGAAATTCGGACTTCAACTTGGACGCTTCTTCGTAGGCGGCAATTAAACTAGTTTCCGTTGCCTTCCGGTCGGTAAGGTCTCTTGTCACTTTACTAAACCCTCTGAGCATCCCGTCTTGATAGACAGGAGTGATGAGGACATTGGCCCAAAACCGAGAGCCATCTTTCCTGATGCGCCATCCTTCATCCTCCACTTTCCCATCTCGGAGGGCTAGCTCCAGCTCCTTCTCAGGTTTTCTCACCCTGCGGTCATCTTCGCTGTAAAACGTGGAAAAGTGCTTGCCAATGATTTCGTCCTGAGTATATTGTTTAAGAAGCATCGCTCCCGTGTTCCATGTCACTATGCATCCCTTCGCGTCGAGCATGAAAATGGCATAGTCTCGAAGGGTACTGACAAGTATGCGATATGTCTCAGCAGAAGATAGCCGGGCGGACAGGTCGAACTTCCTTTGGACCTCTTCGCTGACATCCTCGCCTTCTGCGACAATGTAGAGGAGTTCGTCACCGTCATAGATCGGTGTTATCCGCAACTGCCAATGCCCGGTTAGGCTTCCAACCAGTAACTCAGACCTTTGGTCTTTGCGGGAATCGATAGCGGCTTGTATGAGTCTGAGAATCATTGCACAATTTTCCGGGATAAGCACATTGCTGACTATGTCTGGGAGTCTCTTACCATGGCATTGATCCGCCTGCACGTTGAAGAGGGTTTTCCATGCCACTGACGCAGTGATTATCCGCAACTCTCCGTCCAAGATGGCTGTTGGACGGGGTGAAAGTGCAAATATCTGTTCCATGCCGGTCAGGCTTTGAAAGGTGCAGGGTGGAATTGAGCCAGGGTTGAGTTTGACTCGGTGGTGGAGTAACATTATCTGAAGCGCAGGTGGTGACCGCAAAGGTCCGAAAAGCCGAACTTCCTGCTTGTTGCCGCCTATGACGTCTTCAAGTTCTACGACTCTGACGCGTTTTGAAGACTTTATTGCAAAAGATTGTGGCCTGACGGTATCGACTTAGAAATGACTGGCATAAAGGGAATACTTTTGTGGGCTCAGCGAGAGTAATCTTTGCAGTTCGACCTCATACCAAGGAGTTCAAGCTACGAGATACAGGGTTCGAGAAGGTTGAGTAGTATTTGGATCATTCCGTATCATAATGACGGCGATTACGTGAATTTTCGTGTTCCCATCGACGATCGATCATTTGAGCCGCATATATCGATGTCATCCACAATTGGTCCCGGTTCTAGAGCTCATGCCAATCAACAATGGCTGGAAAATCTTTCCGGGATTGGCGTCGCCGCTCCCATTCTTGACTATATGTATTGTATTTACGTGGCAACGGGTTCAGGATGACCAGGTTGGGCAGGCCAATTGGGCATTTCGGTTAAGGCCCATTTCGCCGACAAAATCAACGGGAGCTGCGCCTTCCCTTCGCCCAATTACAAGTGGTCGGCTCAATGGGGAAGCCCACCAAATTGAATGGAACCGCTTCACTCGGCGGATATACTGCATTACCTAGTACTACGCCGCCAGTTGATCGGATAACTTAGCCGCGAATCAGGGAGGGATTTGCGCATTGTTCTTCAAAGCCGGTACAGGTTTCTCTTGTTCAGACTTTGCCTTAGACAATTTTATATTATCCATCTGTCTTTGGTTGTCCTGAGGCTGCGGGATATGAGCACTGAACAGAAGTATATCAGAGAACGTGTTCCAAATGGTAGCTGTCGCGAGGTGGAATTGCTATGTCTCAATCTCTGCCCCGTCGTCACTCACAAGGTGCTGAGAGCACACTTTCCACGCCTGATTCGGTTCGCCCACTCAAGATTTCGAACGCGTGTGGAGCGTGCAAGCCAAGAAAGACGAGAGTATGTCTGCTCTACACCTATGGCTTGCTAAGGTAGCTGATGAATCGCAAGTGTTCGGGTGGTTCCCCATGCGATGCCTGCGTGAGCCGCAGAAGCCATTGTCTATATGATGCAACATCCGATCAACGACGGAAAATAGCCAACCAGCGGAACGTGCAAGCACTCGCTGGCGCGCAAGTGCAACTCGAAAGATATCGACAACTCCTCGGAGGTATCCTCGCTATCGTCAAGGCTGGAGACAACTACGCTATCGATGACTTGAACCGCGTTATACGATCCGATGTAGACCTCGCGCAGATCGCAGCACACGTGCGAAACGAATGTAGAACCACCATTGCCATCCAGCGAGTCTTTGATCGGATTGACTTCATCATCGATGGCCCTCCCGATCTTTCCTCTCCCTGCCAACTCTTTGGTCAAATTCCATCGTAGGGGGAATCAATGGCATCGCCGACTTCCCCATCGCGCGAGTTTGAAACTAATGATATTACTATGCGCCCAGATGCGCCTGCCACTTCATGTATTGTAAGATTCAAGTATTAAGGAGCGACGACCTTGATACGAGTTTGGAAGCGTATAGGCCTGGTGAGCTTCCGTCCCTACTAGCTATAGCACTCCAGGTATCGGTCCAAAGTCAGATGATACATCATACACCTCTTCTTCTGATGAAGCTCCGAACAGATTGCTCTACAAGATACAACGTGGCTGCATCTGGTTGTTTTTCCAATAGTGAAAACAGTGAAAAGTGAAATGGAGGTATATATGATTTAAGACAGGTCGCAACTTAGTGTACAACAAGTGGAATCAATCGGTACGTATACATACTGATTCGGATACTTGGCACATTGACACCATCAAGAAACGTGGATTGACGGGGGCAAACATCGGATACGGGTTGGTCCCAAATCATCTGTAATCGAAGGGACAGATGGTAAGACTATTTGTGTGTGAGTAGATAGCTCTAGATATAGAATGCTAGGAGCGTAGAATACAAATTCAGAAAGTGGATATATTGTGCGCAGTACTAAAATCAAAGCGACAATGTTACTATCAAGAGATAGTCCTATATAACTGGAAGGATAACCTCAGGTCCTGGTCGCCGCCAACAATACCAGTCCAATAAGTATGCAAGTGCACAGTCGACCATCATTCATCAGTACATCGAGGAGCTGCGATATCATTGCAGTTGACTTCTCGTCGTGAGCTTGTTGTTAGTCGCTTTCTAGTGTGAAGACCGTTCTAGGTTGATCTTTCAGCAGTGAACAATACGGAAAGCCCAACCGTAGAACCTCCACGGAGCCATTGGAACATCAATGACATGCTAATTTTCCTAGTGGAATGTGATTTACAGTTCAAATTGGGAGTTAATTGACTCCGCTTGGGCATAAGAGGAATATCCTGAAGTGTTAAATAGTGCGCTCATTGAAGCTAAGATAGCTTTATAAGATAAACGGTGTACTAAAGCGGCATGGTTCTTCAAGGGTGGATTTTCCCTCGAAAACCATCCTGCGGCATGCCACATTATCGGGACACGGAATTTTATCCTCTCCTGAAAGTGCCCTGGGCGACAGCGTTCGGCATGTCTCTGGAGGGAGTGTTTACCGGCATACCGTTTCTTCCGATCTTCTCGGGTGGATCACTGCACAGGCAGAAGACACATTGATGTTTCTGACAGGTCAACGGGGATACACGCTCCAAGGCTGATGACGGTGATAGGCCATGAGTATCATGTACGCTAGCCGTCAATCCTGTCTTTGCAGCAGGAGATGTTTCTCTCGTCAATCGCCTCTCCCGTCATTGACATAGCGCAATCATCGTTGCGGAACATTTTATGTGTAGGGACTGCGCCTTGGGACCGGTGAATACCGCCGGGTCGCTCATGGCCGCTTCCGCAATCTGCCGTCGTTCAGCGATCTTGATCTGTGGTGATCTCGACTCTGAAGCGAGCTCTGGCTCCTCAGCTAGAGCATCTTTGGTTTGTAGCTGTATCTCCGGGTAAGGACGTCAAGTGTGCAGATATCATCCGCAGTATGACTGGAGAATGAAACCCCTGAACTCGGGTGGCAGTGGTCAACTGGTCAACTTCTTTCGGCGAGGCATGTGGCTCGAGGACATGAGGAGGTAGATCGAAAAGAATGAAGAGAAATCCCAGGAAGTGACGAAAGTGCGATCGGCATGTAGGCGATACCGCCGTACATATCGTGCAGGGCTCGAGCCGCCAGCACAGCGGCTGGCAAAGAGCGAGAGGCATCAGAGCGTTGAGAAGATTGAGCTGAGTTCCGGCCTCGTTTCAGGGTGGGCATTTGACGAAAGGGCTTGCAGGCATGGAGCATGCAGACGATTTGAAATTTAAGAGAGCTCCGCGAGCGTGGTCGCGACATCGAAACGGGTCGGAGGTCATGAAAGCGTGAATGCACACTGTGGAGAATGTGAAGTGAGACAAAGAACGGAGCGCGTCGAGCAAGAGGTGGAATGCCAGGGTACTAGTTCTAGGCGTTAAGAGTGCTACAGACTGGCGAAAGTGCTGTTTGTCGAATCGTCAAAAGCGGCGAGGAAAACGTGGAGCCATTCGGGGTAGAGTTGTCACAAGCGGGTTCGGCTCAAATTCCCGCCCCTGGTATTCCGTAACATTCGCACCTTTCATTTTGCGTCCATGGTCGGGTGAAGTTCAAATCTGTTCAGACTGTGCGGACCTTTATCAGACGTAGCTCATCCTACCTCTTCCAGGCGGCGCATTCGCAATATCGTCCTCATCATGTCGGACTACGATGTAGCCTCCCCAAACCTCTAAATCTCTACGTGTCATGGGACGCTCCGTGACGTCCAGCGCTTCAGGCCATTCACAATCCACAGGGCGCTATGTTGCACAAAGAGAGATCGCAGCACCTGCGATACCCGGGACAAACGCCACAATCAACGGCGCAAGTGGACCATATACAGCACTACGTGACCCGCGTCGAATACAGCATGCGTGCGAACCCTGCAGGCTCAAAAAGACGAAATGCAACGGAGAAAAGCCAGTATGTCGGCGTTGTCGTGGATTGGGATTTGTTTGCCTTTATGGAGACCAAAAGCGGGACAAAGCAAAGAAGTACGTCCAGACGCGCACATATAAGCCAGACTATCGAACCTGACAGAGGCTGTGGTAGGATCGGTCAAAAGCTAGCTGATTGCGAGGCTTTGCTTAAAGTTTTGGCGAACAGAGTTCCCGAGCCCGAAGCGAAGCTCATAAAGGCATATTTAGGAGAAGTACGGAATTCCTAACCGGGTATCTATGTGGTATTAAATGCATTAGGAAACCGCGAGGAACTCGGACACACAAGACACCGACGTTGAAGCTGCTCCACGGTCTGGGACTAATGAACATCGGGGGACTTATGCAACCAGTTCTGAAGGTTCAACCGAGCCGGCTCTGACCGGAGAGACCCCGTATGGTACAAAAGAGGACTTTACGCGTAAAGGGGCAACAGTAACTGGCTTTATGGGGCCGACTTCTGAGGTGACGTGGATGCAGACTGTACTGAATGATAACAATCTCGACGACTTGCGGCTAACTTCGACGCATTCTCCTAGCGACGCTGAAAGGACCTATGCTGACTTCCCTTTGTCACGTTCCGGACAACTTCTTGGAAATCATAGAGCCCATTTGGCGGAGGCAGATCACTCCTTCACGATAAACAGCATGAGTTACCATTTGGATGATACTCCGCTTTCGGCCTTAGAACGTGTTGAACCATACGATATGCCACAGGCCGAGACTGCCCAGTTTCTGTTTTATACTTATCTCCAACACGCGCATTCAACGTTCCCTGTCATTGGAAAATCAACCCTTACATCACAATTTCACCGATTCTTGTCGAATCCCTTTCAAAGACCTCCTGACCTGTGGCTCGCAATTATCAATACTATTTTTGCCATTGCCGCCAGGTATGCCTCTCTTGTTCGGCCCGACCGCCACGGAAATATCGAAGACCATCTTGTGTACTTCAACCGGGCCAGATATCTCGCTATCAATAGCGAGACATTGTTTGACTTCCCAGACCTGCAGCTTATCCAGGTATTCGGATTGATGTCTTTCTATTTTCTCTGCACCAGCCAAATCAACAGGTACGACACTGATGTCCTAGACTGATGCAAAACTAACATGAGAAGAGCTTGGGTATTGATAGGGATTGCTATGTCACACGCAACGGCCCTTGGCCTGAACTTACGGAACGACAGTACGCAATTAAAAGACCAATTGAAGGAAATCCGCTACCGAGTTTGGTGGAGCCTCTATGTTCTCCAGCATCGACTTTGCATAATTACCGGACGCGTCACTTGTGTCTTCGACCAACAATGCTCAACGCCGCTCCCAGTTCCCCTGGAAGAGAACGAATTTGATACAGACAGAGGTGTGGAACTCCTTGGCAAGGAATACCAACAAGGTCCTCGAGCACCGCCTTCAAATATGCTTGCCCGGAACCGATCGACATCCACAAGTTTCACCGATGGAGATCGTTCTTTTCCGCCGCACCAACGATTCCAATCATCGAGAACCATATCGATGCCACAAGTTGGATTATCCTGGGCAAAAGATGTTATGGCTAACCCATCCCTTTATTTTCTCCATCTCACGCAGCTAGCAAGACTCAGCCAAAGTATCCTTTCTCAGATTCACAGCGTTGCTACTAGCCCCCATCTGCAGTCCCGACTCGAAGATATTGAAATTCAACTTGAAGATTGGGCTCGCAATCTTCCGCCAGTTTTCGACTTCCGATGCAACAATAAGGAACAGAGTTCCCGTGAACTCAGACTTAGTCTAGGGTTCTTCTACTATGGAACCCAGCTAATAACCTATCGATCTGTTTTGGACGGATTTCCAGATCTAAACATTACCCGTCAGTCCAAAGATTCAGATACCTTGGACTGTTCAGCTGCCACACGTTGCGTTGAAGCAGCGAAGGCTATAATCCACCTGGTCCCTGACGAGTCCAATGCCGAAGGTATTATGCAGTGTGGGCCTTGGTGGTCTGTTTTACCCTGGCTCGTGCAATCAACCTCGGTCTTAATTCATTGGCTATCTTTCCCTGTGTATCGTGCAGCTGAAGGTTTTCGCGATACCTTTGAGACTTTGAAGAGAGCAATAAGGCTGCTCCACGTACTCGGCGAGCACAACCTCTCTGCCAGCCGAGCCTGGAGCCGATGCGACTTTACCTTGCGTGCAGTGGCAGCCAAGGCAGATATGGACCTTAATGATCTTCCAGAGCAGACTATCTTTCATGGTGCTCCTTCAGCACACGGTACACTAAATACTATAGGAGTAGCTTCACATGAGGCGACGACACTTTTCCAACACTACCCCTCCGCCCATACGATCCTTACGACGACCCAGGCACTTTCACCTCCTCAAAGCCTCGCCGGTTTAAATGGCCTTATGCTTTTTGACCCCCAACTCGGATGGAGTGAGCATGTCGAACTGAGCCGTGCAGACGGGGAGTTCCATCAGCATGCCACCTATTGAGACTAGAAAGGCGAACGCAGGAGCGTGGTCTTCGTCATATATTGTCGACGCAAAGCTTCTGTATATTTTTGGAAGGTTGGTACGAACCAGGTCAGTGGAAGGTCGCAAGGTTCGGCATCTGAAGACGGATGTCAATCCAAACCACAAACCTCACCAATAACAGTTATCCTGACACCGGAGCCGTATGAATGGCGACGGAATCGCTTCCAAAGCTGACCAAATATCCGATCCTCCCAACACCGCAGCAATGGTTGGCCGCCACCTAAAGTCGATACTACTACATTCCTTGATGTCCGGCTCCGTCCACGTAACGGGGTCAACAGAGTCCCAAAATCCGAGGAATAAGGTGTCTAGTTATATTGCTTGGTGCGAGAATCAGGCTCAAGAGGCAGTTGCTTGGCCTAATTACGGCTGGACATAGGCATTGATCCGAGATGGCTTGGCTGCAAGCAGGAGAAGGGGGTCGCAACGATACTCTTTGGTATCAAGGGCGCACTACCTAGTTACGACAACGGATAAAACCTCATTTTCCAGCTACCAGAGCTACTGCCGCAATCGAGAATCCCAGACATACCTGGTGGAGTGGTCTCTTACTTAAGCCTAGCATTCCCGATTCCCTCCAGGCGAAAGACCGTATTCCCTCTCCGAAGCTTCCTTCCGCAGCCAATTAGAAGTAACTACCTCACCTGCCTCTCGAGCGATAGTGTTGCTTCGGGAGAGTGATCGGAGCGATGAGTGTGAGGCATGAGCTTGCCTTTTATGGGCGCCACCGTTATCCACATCATATACGAACCACAGGTATCCAGGGCTGCAAAGAAGACTAGTGGAACCTCGAAGCCGCTTAACGAAAAAGCGTAGGTTAAGGTGTCTCGAAGCAGTGACAATACTGAACTCCAACGGTAGGAGAAGTAGAATAAGTCACATCCTCTCCTCAGTTCTCCTTCGGTAGTCCTCTACAAAACTCACCCATTCTAGATCGCTCGTCCCAGACTCATCCCTACTTCCACATCCATCATCACCAGACGCCTGCTCACACTGAGTAAATCTTCGTCAAAACGTATTCTTCCCTCCTCGAAAGCAACGATTATGCTACTACCTCCAAATTGGAACAAACCTAGTTCCTCGCCTTTTTCCAGCTGTGAGCCCTTAGTCATACACTTTTGGTTGATTTCTACGGTTCCCACATCTGTGGCGCCGATTGCGACAAAGAGCACACGTCCAAACGACTGGCTGTTGATGCAGATTGCGCAACGAGCGTTTACCGTCAAGACGTCGATGTCGGATCGCAAGCAGAGCGGGTCGACTTGGTAATACTCTCCAGGGATTTGCCTGTACCATTCCACAGTGCCTTCGACTGGAGAGTGATACCGATGATAGTCTTGTGGACTGAGTCTGAATGACGCGATCGCCCCGTGGTCCCATATTTTGGCGGCTGCAACGTCTTGGATCAAATTACTGATGGTGAAGTTTCGTCCTTTTATCCAGAGCCGTTTAGTCTCGGAGACGCTGGGGTAGACTACAAGCCGGCAGTCCGCGACCACGACGGCGAGAGAGGAGTCATTCTTTTGGGAGATTGGACGGGCGCCTGGCTTGTGTCGCCGCACGAAGAAATCTTCGAAAGTGCGGTACGCGTGGATGTCTGTGGGCGTGAAATCTTCCATGTTGATGTGATAGAAGTCGACAAAGGATGCTATCTGCTTGGCAGAGGCCCGAGTACCTTCTTTCTTGCCAGATCTTATCGTCTTCTCGTGCATCCAATACCTCAGCAACCACGTTCGGTCGAACCACTCCATGGGCCGACTAAACAAGAGCCATAGCTTGACTTTCTTGTAGATGGGTTGTTGTTCGCGCACATAGCGGCCAGTCTTGCGATTGAGGGTCTTCCAGCCAACCTCACGATTTTGGACTAGCTTGACGGTGGCGAGGGCGCTGTCGAGAAGGTAGTGAAAGTAGCTGATGATAGCACCCATCTTCCGATACTGCTGCGGCTGTGACAAATCCGGACTTAAATCGGGGATTCCTGCGTGCTGAGATGAGAAGTATCTTTGAATTTGCGAGGTTGGAAATTCGATTCCGGAATTCGACTATTTATGTATTCTGGACTAAATACGTCATACGAAATGGTGCATCTCAGAGACCATTTTCTGCCTGTGCAGTACGGTCGTTATCCGTTGCCAAGCATTATAAAAAATCTTGTCAACGGGCTCATCCTCTTCGTTAACTGTCTCCTCATTGAGTTCGTCTAGTTGAACTGTTGGTTGGGTAGCTTGTGTAAATCTACCCAGAGACTGAAGGTATAGCGTATTTGAAACAATGAAGCTCCACTTCGGATACAATTTAATATCCACCAATTTCTTCCTGGCTTCCATACGAACGACCGTTAGAAAGGTATCCAGAAGTGATTTTATTTCAAGAAGCTCTTCAAGATAACATCCGCACCGAGTACCGTCCGGCATGTCCTCTGGGCGTCGTTGTCGGCTGAGTTGGCGGGGAGTAGGATTCCACTGGAGATGCACTTGTCATGTCCAGGGGGTATCTTGCTTCCCGGAGGTTACTTACCGGACCAGACGCTTGCGGGTCGATGTTAGCATTCTGTCCGGATGCTATTTCCCGAAGGTCGCGCGGCGGTAGAACGTGCGTCAGGAGAAAGTCTAGTAGACTGCCCGATTGTGCTCAACTTTTGATGAACTTCGTAGTAAATTTATACTAAAAGTGGCGTCCTCCTGTACATTAACAGTATTATCAGCTCTAAAAGTACAGTACAAGTCTACTTTCCACCGTCGTGTTAGATCGTGTTACAAGTACGTAGACCGTTGGAATGACGTCACACTTACTCGAGCTATGACGTCCTCGAGGAGATCTTGGAAATTCCAATCACAGTCGGAAATGTTTGCAATCTGTTAGTGAAGACTTGAGTACAGAAGCTTATATATAGATTCAGTTGAAGGCCGGCAAGTCCCACACCTCCCTATGATGTCAGACATTCAGTGACGAAACTAGGCTGTTATATTATGTCACATCTTGTCCAAGACTTCCCTGTTTCATCAATACGCACCGTGACAATTGCCTCAGGACTACAAGTTATGTCAACGTCAAGGTCAAAGATCCGCACTAGTGGAAAAGGTGGTGGTGGACGAAACATTCGGACACGTCGTGCATGCGACAGATGCAGACTAAAGAAGGCCAAGGTAGTCCTGTTCTCGCTTTCTTTGGTAAGCTTCTAATTCGAACAGTGCGACGGCAATCTGAAGTGTGAAACTTGTCACACAAGTGACAGTGCTTGTACTTACTTCATCAGAAGGAAAATAGAAGCCAGAAACTAGTAAGTAAGCCAGAAACTACCAAACTATTGAACGCCAACCTTCGCTAGTTATTCTCAAATGCAAGGAGTGATGGATGTAGCACTTCAACAGCTATACCGGGCATGCCGGCAGAAATCCGGGTTTCCAGGAAAGCTTCCAGATGAATCGACCGGTACCGTTACCACGGACGCGATCCTTGAAGGACTTGGTCTCGTTAGACCGTTACTTGGAGGTCGTCAATCCCCATTTACAACTGAGGGACAACCGTATGATATAGACATTTCGGATTCAGACAAATTGTGCGACCATTTGCAAACTTCGCCTGCTGAAGGCGACTCCGCTCAAAGCAGTCCAATCACAGTCTCATCCTCCTCCTTTGACGTTCCCCCGTCCACATGTAGAGGAAGGCCCTCCTGTGGCTCTTCCGGTCAGTCAGTGTTTGCTTACGAAGAGAACTTCAATATGGAGACAAACACTTACCTGCCAAGCGTGGTCACAGCGACTCAGGCCCCGATCCACGACCCTGATACTCCGCATGATGAGGCACAAACTGTGGACAGGAATGAGTCACGGGACACTGACCCATATACCCGTTGCCACCGGGTTCAACCCAGCCGACCTTGCCCTGGAGATGAAGTGCAGGGACTCATGTCAAGTCATGCAATTGGAGAGACGTGCTTTGACAACTGTGCGGCTCCAGAAGGGATCATGTTTGATAGCTATTTAGCTCCGTGGCCTGGATCCTTAGCTGCGGCTTTCCAGTCAGTGCACTCTGCCTAAGCAGCGAATTAAAGAGGAGTAGGGTAGAAGGCGGAGTGCAAATACATGAAATTCTTGCTTGCTCTAATTTTCTGTCAACATTAAAACTGCCGATCCTCAGAGGTATCAGGATCCAACCAGCAGGCCCTTCTAGATCACACATATTCTCGAGCCGTATAGATCATCTTTTCGACACGAGTTTCTCAGTGGAACATTCGATGGATGGGGAATAGGATGGCCGAACTCAAACAGACAATCCACTCGTGACCATATTCATGCGAAGGTACCTTTATTAGATACCAAATGTCTCCAAGCAGCCTCCAATGATTCTTTCCGAGTGCCTGTTCGTCCTGACATCTCCTTTAGTCTAGCCGCAATTCCGTGCCGATGATCGCATGATCCGACATGTGTATTCGGCCAACAGCGCGTCCTCACTTCGAGTAAGACTGCGTGGCACAGTCTAAGGCTTTGATAACAGAAAGCAGATGGAAGACAAATACTCTTCGTTTACAAGCCCAACTCCACTAACAATATATACTGCATCGATAAAGTTACCATCCACTTCTGTGCTGTTGAATCGGTTAAAATGGCTGCAGATAGCGCTTCGCAAACAGATACTGTTAGACGGGTCCTGGAGTTTGTCTGCCCTCGTCAAATCAACGTACATAGCCCATGTTTGTATCAAATCATTGTCTTCCGGCTCTTAATACTAGGTGTGTCGGCCGTGGTCTTTGCTTACAAGTTGTAATTTCGCGTCAGGAGGGAAGGAGATTGCCACGTGGAAGGCTCCAGTGTTCGGAGAGAGTGGCGAGTACATAGTACAAGCGATTTCACTTAGCTCCAGACAAGCTACCGAGAAGGGTATATTCACCGTTCAGAGGCTGCCAGGTCGAAAAATAAGGCATCGTTGCTCTAACAATCTGTAGCGATTCAGGTATGGGCATTCATCATGCTTGTCCGAGATGAGAGGACGTCTTCCATTTATTGCCATTAACAACAGCGCCGGCAGTGCGCAACTGTTTCGTCAGGGATACGGCGTGCATCGGAGGCGGGAGAGTGGAGGAGTGGTGTGGCTGCCAGGGGGTTTGGATGTAGATGTTTTCAGAGATCTGGCGGTCTATTGATTTCCAGTCATCCGAGGGGAGGCGCATTGGGAAGAGTGTACAATGCAATTCCCTTTTTGCTCGTTGCTCGCCATCAAGTGTTGAGCTAGGGGCATGGAATAAAACAACGTGGTATGTGCAACATAATAATTGGTAAAGCAGCATAAGACTACCGAGGTATCGACAACTTTAGCAGCGCCGCTTTACGAGATACAAACGGATCAACGACAACGGCCTTTGGCCTTACGAATGCCCTCTTCTCTTGAGTGACTATGAATACTCCTATCCGTTTGTAATCAGCTTGTCATGGCAGCAAAAGACACTATACAGTACATGCGCTATGACCTGTCCCCGGGGTCGCCCAACTGATCGATGTTTCTACCAGCCACATCGAGACCAGAAGACGTCGTCACTGAACGATCATTCGTCACGTGGATCCCATTTTCGATTTAGTTCGTCGGTGTACTGTAAGTTCTTCAGCTTGGCCCTCGAAGTCCGAATAGCCGTCCATGGCACCTACCCCTACGGAGCAGTTTCGCGACTGACCGCATAGGCGATCAAGAAGAACTCCAGGTCCGCCTGCAAACATGTCGCAAAACTGTCTGAGGCCTCTGGCCCCTGCGTCACCGATTCGCCCCGCTCAGATTTCCGACCCAAACAACTTTCGATTACCGACCAAACAGCGACGGAATACCACAACAGCATGCACCGCTTGTCAAAAACGTCGTACCAAGGTGCGTCTATCTCAAGTACCGTTTCTCCGTGGCTTTCTCTGCAAATGGTGCCCACAACTCGGACAGGAGAGCCTCGGATATGCACCTACCACCGCTCGCTCTGACTTCTCGGTGTCTGCGTTCCTGTCAGGCTGTGTAGCTATTTCCTGATAAGTTCCTTCATTCGGCAGACTGAATCCCAACCAACATCAAGTTACGAGATCCCAGCTCATGAATGGCTGCAACTAGTGTGACGATTATACCCGTTGTGCAGCCTGTTTGGCGAGACAAACAGATTGTATCCGCGAAACGGAAAAGGATGGCCGCAGGAGGATGGTGTGGAAGGAAAAGATCGAAGAGTTGGAATTGGATCGAAAAATGCTCTCCGATTTGATGGAGGCGATCCGGAATGGTGAAAAAGATCAGGTGGAAAACCTTGTTGGTATAATCCGAACGACTACGTCGAATGAGCAAGTCTCCAGCTATATTTCCACGAACTTTTCTCGCGCAGCAGAGGAAGGACCGCCCTACAAGGCTTCAACATGCCAGCAGCCGCAGCAGTCACCTGCAAGTCGTTTGTTCAGAGCCACATTGGGAACCATTATGCCCGTGTTCGAGGTACCAGCCAAACCTTGGACGACCGTCACAGATGATGACGGGCTCGTGTCGCATCTCCTATCACTATGGTTTACATGGCGCCATTGGTGCTATCCGTTTATTGATCGCGATACCATTGTCTCGGCCATGCAATCTGGACGCGAGAATGATGGAATATGTACGGTAGCTTTGGTGAATATGATCCTGGCAGATTCTTGCGTGAGTCGCAACACCAGATGACGGTGTAATTACTGACCGCGAGTATCATAGTTTGATTATGACATTCTGGATAACGGTCATGTACCTCCGTCGAACGAGAAACCCCTACAAGATCTCTTTTACGAGGAAGCCAAGAGATATGCAGAGACAACAACGCAGAAGAGACTCATACCGTCGATACAGTTCATGGCGATCCAATGGATGTTGTAAGCCGAGGTATCCTTCTCTATATTGAGGTCCTCACTTATCAAGGTAAAGTTTAGAGAACCGCGGTATTAATAAGCTCGCCAATGTTATCATGCGAGATATGATCGACCATCTAAAGCAGTTCAAAAAGCCTAGTCAATATCAAGAGGCCATGACGCAACCTGGAAAAGAGCCAGTCTCTAGTGCGCAGCAACTTGCGGCATACACTGGCTGGGCTGTGTTCGCCTCTACCACCGCTGCAACTTTTGCGGTCCGAAACCGACCTGTGATGGAACCTCCTACCAACTGGAAGGCTCCTCTCCATCGAGGGAACTTGACTGAAGTGTGGTCACCCTACCCCCGTGATAACCTTCCTGCAGTTCCCCATCCCATTTGTTACCTTCAACACCTGAGCGGTTTGTACGATATCTGCTACCACATCAGTCAGCGTGTTTTCATCGACGACAATGTGAATATCAAAACCGTCACGCGTGACAATCTGGAAGAGCTTCATGGTGACTTAACAGTTTGGTACGACAATCTCTCGGATTGTGTCCAAGTTACGGGATTCAAAACACCCCACACTTTGAGTTTATATGCCCAGTATCATTGGGCTGTGTTGGTATTATCAGAAATGACATTGACACTACAAGCTGAGGATGAAGACGATTCAACACTCGGTCTTCTCGTTCCTGTTGTACGAGCGCAAAACATGACCTCAGCCCTGGCCATAGCCGACCTTGTCCACCTTCAGTCGGTGAACTGGGGCGTCGACCATATCCCTATTAGCTTTCTTCAGCCAGTCAACGCGGCCTTGTCTGTCGTCGTCAACGACGTCAATGGCGATCAGTGCAAATCGTCCTTTGTGAAACTGGCTGTAGCTTTGCACGGTCTGTCTCGCCGTTCGGTTTCCGCAGAGAGTATGTTGCGTGATTTACATCTCAGAATACGTCAACTGCAGCTTATGTCGTCGAACCATGTGGAAAACATGTTCAAAGACGCCGATGTCCACTTTGAAGGCAGTGTTGTTTCACCTGCTGTTGGTGTGGCGGCTACAGGTGAAGCTGCGAGAGCATTTGGTGACGGCCTGATGGCGGAATCTTATGAGGCATTGGTGGAAAAATGGAGCCGATTTCTTACTAGAGCTTCATCTTCTTCAGATTCATCATCCAGCTGGCAGAACGACAAATGATTTATCGACGTACAGCGTTCAGCGCCATAGACGAGCTCGGCTCGATAGAAGGTTGTCCAAGTTGCGTGGTATTCAAGATCTGCGGAGCAAGGTCTTCAAGTGCCTGAGAGTTGGCTAGCCGACGAACCTGAGCGGCCAAAGCTCTGGCATCTCATCATCATGGATGCCAGTATGTTGATCAATAATAAGTCGTCTTGAGTCTTTGGGCGGTTGAGTTCTTTGAGTCAAAACCTCCAGTTGTTCAAGATGTCGGGAATGGATGCCTTCCGTAACTCCGCTGACAGATTTTCCGTAGACACTTGCGAGCCTCTGGATTCAATGCTCCTGAAATTCAACTGAGGTCCGTCCACTGTTCGAGGTTGAGTCCTCTTGCCCGGAATATCTTCAAATCGTGATTCGGTCACCACGTCAAGACTCTCGTCGCCAACAGTAGGGTTTGAGAGAGTGCTCGCCTTTGAATTGTGTGCAAAATTCTACGCCAATGGAGCATTTAGCATAGCACGTAGATGGAATTCGACGGAAACGCGGATACCTTTAAGATTCTCATTGTGTCTGGATGCTTGTCGGGTTGGAAGCGAGGTGAACGGGTTATCACCCGGAGGGCCTCGAGGAGAATCTCCTGTTCTCTTTCCAACTCATAGATTGCTGCGCTGCACTCTTTGAGTTCTCTGTCGAGTTCATCAGACTGTTCCATCCTAGTTTTCTACCGGTCTAACAGCGCACCTCTGATCCCGACATTTTTTCCGCTCTTGATATACACATTTTGCGTTGTCTTTATCGCACCGGAGACATCGTTCTTCTCCGGAACATTTCAAGTGACGAATCTGACATCGAGCACAGGCATGCGAGGTTCGTCGCTTCTTCAATGTACTTGTTGTATGCATATGAATTGGTTAGCTGGCCGTAAATCGTCGGGTAGGTCCTCCGAGAAATGACTTGTCGGCCAGCAAGCTGACCCCGTGTTCTGCCACTATAGTCTTGATTCTTCTTATGTCTAATCGAAACGCTAGTCTGTGCGAATTCGCATTCAAATCAACTAGTCCTACTAATTTCCAAGGAAAGAAGTCTTGAAAGAGGCGTATCTGTACTCGAAAGAGGACCGCCGGTCTTCGCCAGAGGCGCATTCTTTGCCGCAGGCTTGTGCTATGGGACAGTGATCTAATTTTGACGTCTGGTCTGCCAAAGCTGCATTATTACAGACTAGCGGTCGAGAGCTAACTCGGCTGGATATCGACATCAAGCGTCGGAATAGGTCCTGCAGAGCCGCTGGTTTTCAAAGTCTCAACGATTTCGGTGTTTCTTCGACGAATGAACTTCAGTCGTCTTAGTTGCTGAAGGATCCTGCCTGCAGCGATGTGAGGAATATCTTTGAATCTGGGTGCTCGGATGTTGTGCAACGCTCAGTTCTAGGCGATGTCTGGGGGCTAAATGGGATGTATTGACGAGTCTGACCTCCAGGACTAGGAGGTCGCTGTTCTATCTATTTATATGTTAAAGGAGTGAAAGTTCTCTCTTCTTGGTGGAGAGATTTTTCTCCCGGGCATCGGCGGCGACCGGTGAGGTCCTCGTCGGGGGCCGGCGTCCTTGTGTCGGGGAGGTCCTGTTCCTCCATCCTGAGAACTATGATATAGCGAAAATGTGACTAAAGTGAGTGAATTCATGGTGTTGCAAGGTTTGCAAAAGGAGCGTTCTAGGCGGCGAAGTCCCGCGGAGGCGTTCGGCGCAAGTATGGAGGTTGTAATGACCCCGTCACAACTCAGCCTTGTTCAACATCGGAGTTCACCTCCGGATATCGTTTATGTCGCCAGACCGACCTCGTTACGTCTACTATGGCCAGAGATGAGATTATAATGGACGGGGAAAGCAACCTGATCGGTACGACTGTTGACCAAATTCGGCCTTCGTTTTCATTCCCGACTTGTCAAATACGGTTTCATCATTCATGTCTCGGTTTGCTCCACATAACCTTTCGCACACTCAATTCCCCTAGTCGCACAACCCGCAACTTGTAAGATCAATCGTGCAAGCGATGCAGCCATAAGGCTTTGTACATCGTCTTGCTCCTTGAATATTGGCAATACAATCGTCCATCACGAGTACCATTTTGGACTGTACTTCACCTCGGTTTTGAAAACAAAGTAGATGTATATTTGCGAACACGCTCCGAGGCTATCAAATACGGTTGAAAAGCACTACTGCCTACTGCTTCGAAACTGAGGTTCATTTGCTTAGGGTTAAGGACCTCTTTGAGGACACCATGAGAGCACTCATTGTGTGGCCATCCGTTCGTGTGCCGGCACCTTGAGGCCCGAACATTCAAAAGCTGTGGTAAGTGGTACACCGACCATGTAATACAAGTTTGAGGGTATACGGAGCTCTCCAGCTTGTTGACCTAATGTAATCCTTCCTTTGGTTATGCCCAAGGCCGAGGCCAAGCTTTGAGACACACCCTTTTCTCAAGGTCACACTGCTGACCGTCGCCCCCGGTTAAATACGGAGTCCCACACTCTTTACTTTTGTTTTTGGTCGTGCGCAGTATTTGCGTGTGACTGTACGTTGCTATCACCCGACATCGGTGACGAGAGTTTAGGAATTTCGCCGGATATAGGATGTTGCTTTCCAGTTCGTGGGTGTCCAGTCATGGAGTCATCAGTGGCTTTGGAGATTGCAAGATCGCCCGAATCGAAGAATTTGCGCTCCTAAAGAATGTTAAACTCAAACATGGAGTCTGATAAAGACGGAAAACCCATGAACAGTGGCTCACTCACTTTCACCTGGGAACGTAGGAGGATATTTTGCTTGGGTAAAGTCCCGTATCGTGCATAGATCTCTCTTTCACGCTCGGTAGGGGCCTAATAAGATATGCATCAGTAAAGATTTCGGATTTGGGGGCGCTCTTGCTGTACCTCGTTTGAGTCCTCCACCCTTTGGGACATCGGATTGTATATTCACTATTCTAAGTGTCCTAGTAGATGTACATGAGAGTGGCGCTTGTTATTCCCAGACCACCTGCAAGGTCGTGTGCTTATAGGTCGTCCTTACGACTTATCCCGACCGAAAGCTAGAGGATGTGTGGGGTTGCGGTAGTGGACTCGGAATGAATTCACCTTTCCTAGTTTTCGCTCTGAAAATCGTTGAGGAATTGACCTTGACTGATATAAGTGGAGTTTCCATAGCCAGACAGACATCGCCACGCAGACCTAATAAAGCTATTAGGGGAAATATACTGCCTAGGTGATGTGTTCCCTTACATCGTAGCTTCCTTATCCGTCCAGTGCCTTGATCTAGACCTTTGCACGCGGATAAATGAGCCGGTCAATCCGGATCGGCATAAGCTGCGACATTTGAACCTTGACTTGCGGATGATCGGAAATGCACTTCCATCTTGAGGCGACCTACGCATCCGACCCAGCTTCGAGGGAGAAAATTGGGCAGAGGTCAAGGGAGTGTTGTACTATCAATTTCTTCTTGCTCATAAACTCGGTACAGGGAAAATAGTCATCGCCTGGATGATTCTGGCACAACCTGGCACAACCAGGCACGACCCAAACACTGAGATTTAAATGCTTTCAGTTAAAGCCTCATCCTCGACTCTATTCCCGCGCTAAGAAACCCTCCCTCAACCGCCATTCCTGTTTTTGCTTAGATTGGAACACTTGAACTAAAATGGTATCTGCAATTGCCTTTCTGGGAGGACTGTTCCAAGTTTCATCGGCCAACATCGTCGATATCCGGATCGATAGGGTTGCAGCAATTGGCTACGCTGACACGATGACATTTCCTGACTTAATAGCTGGTAAAGGACTTGGAGAAATGTTGGCAAGTAGTCGTGGTTCACGGCTGGCGAGGCAGGTAAAGGAGGTGCTCCTTATATGCAGAACTAGAAGAGCCAACAATCACATAATGATCCCCTCCACCAGCGCTGGATGCCGGTATTGCAACTATATCATTCCCTGTGGTTGGGAATACCGCGACGGACAAATCCAAAGCAGCCATTGTCAAGAATAGATTATAAACGGTGCAACTGCAGCCAGCGGGCAATCAAGGACTATCGCGACAACCAGGACAGCAGTCCCGAGGGAGAAAGTGAGACAATAAATGATGTGTTAGGCGATGTGGGCACAGCTGATGGGTTTGAGGTCCGCTCCTGTGAGCAAGAAGAGATATAGGCGCCGCGCTAACCTGACGAAAGTGCGCCGCAACGCCCAGCTTCAGCCTACGTGATCCTTTCCAACAAGGTCTGTGAAGAAGTAACAAATCAGCATCTATCCTTTGTCGAACTTGCAAAGCTTGTCGGCGCTCGACGGTAAAAATTGGTCGCCGTAAGTCCGGAACAATTTGAGGTTTAGGCAAGGAAAGCCAAAACCCGCTCCAGGCGACAAGTTAGGTCCTAGATGGAAGGTATGAGTGACGACAATTCGTCTCCTCTGCGTCTGGATTGAGCTAGGTCGCGCCTAGAGAGCACGCGGGATCCAGAGTGCCCGGGAAGACTACAAAAGAAATCCAACAGTTAGAGGGCTCATGTGTTCGGTTCAAATTTCCCATCAAGTGACCCCAAGCTGCTGAGGTCTAGAACGAGCCCGAAATCAGTGCAATGACGGAAGCCAGCGTCGGGAGGTGCTCGCAGCAGTTCTTTTGCTGGGATTTCATTGGCGGGCTCCGATGTGGGCCCAGGTGATCCCCAGAAACCTGGGTCAAGAAGTCGCCTGTTCATTTTAAGGTTCGTGTGGCCGAACACGGTGATGGAAAATGCAGGTGACCTGATGCGCGACTTCTCGAGTAAGAGGCATCCAGCCCCTACACTAAAATCCTTCTCGGCCGATCTATGCAATCAGGCACTGATCCTCTCTGGGGCGGGAATGTGCGGTCAACTCCTGCCCAGCTACTGCAGATGCTTACCTCATCAACCATCTATCTATGTTTCCCTAGCAATTGGCCAAAGAACACAACTAGAGTGTCGATCAAAAATATATCGTCATCCAGACCCTCAGTATATGGGCAACACCGTCGTTGCTAGCTAAGGCGTCAAGGCTCAATCAGTGGCAAAGGTCTCATTTGAATTATGATCAGACACTCGGGATTAGGTCGCTTTCAAATTCTCGCGCGTTCATCCAGGCTACTTCAATATCCCCGTTTCCGGATGTCCTCGAGCACCTCAGCGGTAATGCCCATGCCTTTCAACGATGTGCATAGAAAGCTAGGAGCTGAAGCGATTCCTTTTTCCGACGACTCCCTGCGGGCTGGATATCCGCATCAAAGTCATTCGGAATCGCACAAATGGACCCGTTCTCATGCATCACTCTTCGATGTTTCGGACATGGTCCAACATACCATCTCCGGCCCCCTAGCTGAGGAATTCCTCATGACTGTCACACCCGGTGGGATCAACAAGCTCGCCAAACACTCGTCAATACTGTCTTGCCTCCTCTCAGTAGAGGGCGGAATGGTGGACGACGTCGTCATCACACGTCTTGGTAAAGCGTCCTTCTACTTGGTGACGAACTCAAGGTGCCACGATTCCGATCTATCTTTCCTACGATCCCAGCTGTCTCGATTCATCTCCTCAGAATGCGCAACCAAGAAAGCCATTGATTGGAATGTGCTTGAAAACTACTCCCTTCTGTCTATACAAGGGCCCTTGTCTTCTGCAATACTTCAGTCAATGATTTTCTCTGACGGGGACGGTCCGGAGCCAGACTCATCCCTTTCAACCCTGTATTTCGGTCACTCGCGCTGGCTTCAACTTCACCTTCGCATGGAGGGTTTTACCACACCTTCTCTTCTAGTGTCCCGCACTGGTCACACCGGCGAAGATGGATTTGAGATATCAATCCCTCCTGAAAGGGGCCCTGGTCCCGCACTAGTTACATCCATCGCTAACGCCATTACATCTGACCCTCAGGCGTGCCGCTCGGCGAGCTTGAGAGTGAAGGACTCTTTGCGTCTTGAGGCTGGATTGTGTCTGTACGGAGATGATATCGACCCTGCGACTACGCCTCCTCAAGCTGGGCTGAGCTGGATGATACCCGAAGACCGTCGATTAGATCATTCCCCAGCATTCAATGGGCATGAGGTTATAGTCTCCCAGCTCTCTAGACCGGATACCATCTCCGCGCAGCGAGTTGGCTTGGTTGTGGAACCGGGCCTTGCGGCGCGAGAAGGGGCAAAAATTGTTGATCTGGACGATCCACGAGAGGTGATCGGGAAGGTCACATGCGGAGGACCGAGTCCGAGCTTGGGAGGAGTCAACATCGCGATGGGAATAGTGAGGCTAGGGTGGAATATAATAGGGATCAAAATAGGAATTAGGGTCCGCGGGAAAACCAGAGTAGCGGAGGTGGTTGATATGCCATTTGTGGAAAACAGCCTCTACTTAGGTGGCGAGGGCAATGCTTTCATGGGAGGTGTTGGCAAACTACAATCGAGGGAGAACGTCAGACAAACATATGACTTTGTCGTTGGCTTTCAAAGTCTCACACCGAGACTCGAGGTTTGGGGTGGCAGAGGGGGAGGGACGAACAGAGAAGCATGAGTGAACAGGGTCTTGTGTTAGATGTCAGATTGTATGTGTTTAGAGGTTTTAATATCAGGCTACCGATTAACACTCCACGCTTCTCTGGTAGAATCATTCTCTTTTCTCTTCGCTCTCGCCTGGAAATGGACAGGGGCATCCAATTGTCCTTTGCCGAACTCCTTCTTTCACTTCTGTTCCGTTTCTGAATCTACCACTCCGTTGGATGGTACGTGTTAACTCTGCGGCTGGTCAGCTAACTTTTGCTTCAGAGATTTAGAACTTGAGAAGTGTACACAAATTTCGATAAACATCCAGTGAGGATAGATTGGCGCAGTAAGGGCATATCACGAGGGGGATTAGAGCCTCGTGAGAGATGAGATCAAAGGTCTGCATGCAGCCCGATCTTCGTTTTCTTCTAGAGGGTTGGCGCAGTTTCCCGAGCCAGCAGCTCTTTTCCAGCGTGGGATATCTCAGCTTGTTTTTGTCTGGCCAACTGCACATCCTTCGACCATGGCCTGATCTAGCGAGTATTCTCATTTTCTTGGCTCCGCTGATTTGCGACACATCGTAGACATGTCTACGATGTGTCTTGTGGCAATCTTCTCTAGCTCATTTCGCCACCAAGCGCCGCAAGATGAAACTGCTTCGCCAAACAGGCTCCACACTATATAGTCAGCTTCAGGCACATTTGAGAACATTCTTCTTGGTAGACTATGAGCATTTCTCTTGCCCATTCGAGTTGTCGATATTCCTCAAGGCTTTCCATGACTGTGACCATAAATCTTCCATCGAGTACATCCAGTGATATCATATTCAACAACGTCTGGTCGCGGAGATGAGCTTCTTCCAGTATCTCCGCTCTGAAATTGGTGGAGATGGTCTCTATTTGGGGATAAGAAGATCTGCGCTGGACTAGACCATCGAAAGAGTAGCCTTCCTGATCAATACGACCAGGATAGGAATGAGGTCTCATTGGCTCTAGACCGATGTCGATATATCGATATTGTTGCAAAGATCTTGGGACTGGCCTTAACAGAGATCGGGCTACTCCCTCTTCAGTTTTAACGCGACTGGGCAGGTTCAATTCGTATTCACAGGGTAGCATACCCAGAAGTGGGGAGCCGTCTCTGAAGATGTCGAAACTTTGTGAAAATGAAGACGCTGTTGTGGATGGTAGGAGACTTTGGAAATCAGGCTCGGCAGGCAATCTCATGGTGCTGCAGAAGCTATCATCGCGCTTTCTTTCACTGAAACCCAAGGTCTTCCTAGTTGCGACGGCCTCGTGTAGGAAGCGAAAATTATACTGACCGTTGGACATGTTTAGAAGGAAAGAGGATGAGAGTCGCCCTGAATCCTTTTGGCGGAATAATGACCCCTTTGATATAGATACTCGTACAGTCGACGAATGGGTGATATGAACCCGGAGCTCAGGTAGGATGCGCCGTTATAATAGGTGATTAACGGTCTCGCAGGCCTGTAGCTTGTTGCTTCCGGTGCCTGTTTATCGTTATAGGACGGTGTGGTCTTAGGGTTATCTTAAGAATAAGTCTGGTAAAGAGGTGACTGGATTCCGTGCGAATTGATGAGAGTAATTTCTGTTGTGAGGAAAAGTGGTGGTGTAGTCTAACCCCATGAGAGGCTTGCAGCACTAGACACCGGGTTCGTCTGAGATCAGCGCTAAGTCGAGACCAACAGGATGTCGTCATTGAAGTCTCGACCTTGGTCTCAAGTAGACCCGAACCACCAGCCGTGAATTCGGACCGGGGCCCCCTAAGCGGTTACAGGGGACATCGTAGCGGGACCATTCCATTCGCTTGTACAAACTGTTGAGGCCATATGCGACGAAGGGAAGATGTGCATGTACGACTCAGACTGTTCGAGTTAGTCTCCAAGTAGAGGCAAAAGCTGGTGGAAGCAGAATACAGTAGCCTCTACGACCTTTATGTTTATGATAGCCCTATAGGTGGGCAAGACGTGGCGATGACCAGCTTTCCAGCAACTCCGGGAGCGACTGATTCGTGGACGTAAGTCTAGTTAATGGGGCCCGCTAAGAAGTCGCAAGAAAACTGCTGCCTGGGCCTCGGCCCTCTTTGTCGAGTCTAGCTGCCCAGATTTTGGCAGGTTCTGCGGGACTCACTCCATTCAAACAGGAGACGGATTGACGTCACCCGTTCCCTCCTCTTTGTCGTCGTCTTTCCCACCCAACCCTGTACAGGACACCGCAAACCACTTTACACTGCCATTCCTGTCCTTGACCATCGACCAGAAACACCCCCATACTAAGACGCACCTTCATCCTCGCCATGCCGCAATCTGACACCTTCGAGACCCCGATTCGCGTTACTATATCTCGCCCACTTCGTGCTCGTTCTCACAGTCCGATTTCTCCTTCCACTAACCTTGTTCAAAGCTGCTACGAGCAGAGTATCATCAAGGCATCTGACACCGATAACCAAGGAATACAGAGCCAATGTTCTGTGTTGCCGTGTTCATTACAGCGTCGTCATTCGGCCCTTTCCAAAGACAAAGGCCGAGTCAAGCATTTTGCCTCCAGGGACTTTGCGAATGCGCCAGTATTTGCGGATGCGACCGAGATAACGCCGGCTGAGTGCAACAACATGCCAGACACTGACACTGCTGCCTCGCAGAAGCAGGAAGACAACGTTCGGATGATGCTCCACTCCGACCGCCGTGCTCGTGAGAAGATCATTAGGTGTGATTGGGAGCGTGACCATGTTGACAAGCTTAATAAGAAACCACACGGCGACATGACAGCTGGCGAGCTGTGACTTGTAACTCAGATCTACAATGATCTACAAAAAGGAGATCGCAAAGTCAACGTTGGGATCAGAAAGGATTGCTCCGGCTGCTTCTCCCACTACAGTATGCACACATCGGCCGAATACAATACCGAGTGGATCGAGATGGAGAATATTCAGGATCAAAGCTACCTAAAAAGGCAAACATTATGTCCTAACATTGTCGGCCATCACAATCCTGCTGATGCAGAGAATGAACTTCCGCTGGCTGAAGAGGAGGAAGATACCGCGGAGAAGACTTAGTGAGTGAGTCGCCAAAGTTAAGTTATAACTACTCGCGTCTCGGCCCAAATCAGGAAACAGGGTTATACGGCCTTGCTACCCCCTAGCTCGCGTGAGCTCGGGAAGCGATCATCCTTGACTCACTCATTTTCATCTGTGTAACAATGGCAGGAGTATGGAAATTGAAGCCGGCAGCACCGCTCAGACCGACGCCTGCGTTCACGTTGAGAAAGTCTTTGCCGTGGGCGACGGCCAGATTTTGCGTCAACGTTGCCACAACCTCTTTGCTTACAGCATAGGTAGCCTCTTGTCGAATGGCGGTACGGCCATTAGCACAGAGAAGGAGTTGTTAACCATCCAACCTCCACATCCCGATGCGTTGTCCGCAGGCTCCTTGCATTGGGAGCCATGATGACGAGGATGTGTATTCGGCTGACATCGACGAAACTCCCCTCGCTGGCTGCAGAGGCTGGCCCCGGTATATCTGGGAACCCAGTGTGTAATGCGATAGACAAGGATTCGATTGTCTCGGACGACATATGGTTTCTCAACGAATTTAGGATACAGAGGGCCATGGCAGCCTTGGAGGCAACTTATCTTTCAGGTACACCCGAACCTAAACGTCTCACGTCCCTTGTGTTACAGGGTAATGTTACCTCGCGCGTGCACTTGAGTCTGTTCCACCAGCTGTTTTCTCCAAAGCGGCTGATCAAATATCTGGCCGTGGTCGAGGTTCGGGGACCACACCACGTTCAACCTGTCATCACCGCTATGGTCTTCTGGCACGGCGTTTTCAGAATCGTACTCTGCCGGGATGTCATCGCTGTGAAAGCTGACTGGCTTGGTCCTGTCCACCTGGCCTCCACCAGTTGCTTGCAGATATTCATAAACGAGAGGGGCGTTGATGATCGAGTCTCTGCCGGCGAGGAAGACAGTGACATGATGGCTCAAAAGGTCGTCCTTCCACAAGATATTTTCAGACCAGAAGAATGTGCGGGAGAGTGTGTGCGCTACTCCCATATCCTTGGAGCCAAAGTACCATAATAGCCATTCGTTTGCGAGCTTGGGTCTGCGTACAACCTGGTTTCGTTGTCAGCCAATGCAGTTCACCCTTGCAAGCGAGGCTTGAGAGACTATCTTACAAAATTATAGGCCACATCTGGTTGATGAAGTAGGATGGAAACAGGGTCAACGAGAATTACCGACGCGATCATGCTTGCTAGTTCGGGCATCTTCAAAAGATGTGTGGAGATTACCGAGCCATATCTTGGTGAGACGTTAGTGATGGACCTCGATAGTGATGGATAGACTTACGAGTGTGACACCAATACGTACCGCTCAAACCCATGATACTGCAAAATGGTGCGAAGCTGTCGACACAGTTCTTGCTTCCGAGGCAAAGGGGACGTGATTCGAGACGAGATGGACAGCATCTCAACCGCAAGGATCCCTATGACGCCGTCCTCGGTCCGGCGTCCTTGATTCAGTTCTTTCAGGAATTCCTTGTAAGGGTACAGACCAACTCCGATACCATGGAGGAACAGTATTGGTAACTCCGCCCGAGAAGTATGAGGACGATACCAGTATGTCAAATCTTTGGCTGGAGAACGGTGGATTTCCAGGAGAGTATGCGGCCGCAGAGGGAAGACGTCGAAAAAGCGCATGATTGAAGCACCGTAGTGGTGGAAGTGGTGGAGCTGCATATAGGCATGCGTGAGGACGTCGACGAAGAAGATACACGACAGGGATGTTAACACTAGCAAACTCATGTAACAGAACGAGAACCTTACTGAGTACCACACCAGACTTCGATGGAGCGCATCGACTTTATCCAAAGTCAATCGTAGACATTTGATATCGGCACGTCCGTGCTCGAACTTCAACCCGGTATCAAGCTCCATGCTCTTCACATACTCTTCCACTTCATCTTCGGAGGAGGGTTCAATCACATCCGTGTTGAGAAAGGCCCATCGAAAGAACTCTTTGACGTTCTCGCGCTTGACGGCGGTTAGAGGTGCGTAGAAGAACCAGCCCGACAAGTATCTGACGGCATCCTGCGTACTCTCCCGACAGAGTCGGAAAAGCTTTTCTCGCTCCTCCTTCGACGGAGCAGGAGGATGTAAAGCTGGACGCTGGAGTTGATGTCTTTGATAGAGATAGAAACCTAGACAGAAAATGGTCTCTGCTAAGGCCCAATATTCGACGAAGATTGGAAGTCGCCAGGAGCTCGGCAGACACAAGGTCGAGAGGCAATAGGTAACACAGATCGGTGCGATTGAATGCAATATAATGACCCATGACTTGACCCAGATATAGTCGAATGTCGATGTTCCGATCATGGTGAAGTAAATTATTCGGCGCACTATCTCCCGGGACGGCGGAATTATCATTACAGAACGTCGTTACACTCAGGGGAACCGAGTTCTAAGGTGAGAAAAGGTTCCAGGGTCTAGATTTGCAGCTTTAAGACAACCAGATATTAAACAATCTCACATGAAGCGCGACATTTTGTTGGGACACGGCGGGTCCGCCACGAAGTGAAGCATAAGAAACATGTGATGTGGACATTTCGGGATCTATCTCCGGATGCCTGAGTCACGTGAAAATTAAGATTGAGGTTGAGGTCGACAACGTTGTACTCAGCTTCGAGAAATTGCAAATGAATCGCACACCCGGAAGGGTGGCAACAATGGAAGTTATCAGCGCACGCCAGTAGGGCCCAAGTCACCATTACAACTCGGATTGTCGCAGTTCTTAGCAGCAGAGGATCCCTAGTCGGTATTAGTTCATGACCAGCGGCTCTCGTTCACTAAACCGGTCACTGAACCAGTCGAAGTGTGGCCGCATTATAACGGTGTATTTCACAAGTTCCTCTACGCAATCAACCAGTCGATCTCGATTGCTTCCTAGCTCGAACTGACTTCGTCCGCCTCCCCGTCTGTAAATAAGGTGTAGGCCTGCGGAACCGATGACTGGTTGGGGATGGTAAACGTCCGTATCCGTCTACCTAGAACGCGCAGACTATTGACCATATTAAAAGATTGTGAAGCCCCCCGAGACCATTTCCAGTTCTAAGGTGCGTCCCTGTGTTGGTCGCACCGATCCAGTACTTAATGGGATCCAGTCAATCAAGACGGCGGTGAGATTACCATGCTGCTCCGGTGACATCCAGAAGTGTCCATCGCTCCAGCGACTGAGGTCTCGAAGTCCTTGCACCTTTGGATGGCTGTGTTGGTCATCATCTTTGACAGGCAAACCTTGTGGGTTATAGATACGCACGTCACAGCCGAGCCTCCAAAGTATACGGGCGACTTCAAAGGCGAGAAGTTTCTAGTAGGGACCTACGCGGAGTAAGTATCTCTCCGGCACATAGACCTCACAGGTTATGTTACCTTTGACAGAGACTCCCGTATAATATCAAAACTTTAATCCTGTCTCCTGTTATTCTCAGGTCGTTGTACACCAGTTCAGTCACTGTAGCAAGCTCCAGTCTGATGACCTAATCCTGCTGCTGGACAGTATCCGGGAGTAGGAACGGTCGATATCTGGAACGGACCGTAGGCTCATCTATAGATGCCGAAATAGAAAGTGATCAGTAGGCAAAGTCAGGATGACGCTCAGGTTTCAAAGTCATGCGCGTAGACGCCGTATTATTCAGATCACCATTTGTTAATCTCTGTTCGGACTCTGGGATATTGGAGGTGTTCGCTGATTCTGAGCTTCGGCACGGTCGGGCGGATGTTGGTGTTCAGCGTTCAGCGCCATTTTGGGGGGAGAGAATGTGAAGGCGAGTGGTTGGCACCTCGATTCACCGATGGTTCGAATGTAGCCGAAATGATTGATACAGACTGGCGAGTTCATAAGGCATTGGAGGGCGCTGCAAGAGTGCAGGGCAGCGATCCTTGGATCGCTGTGGTTGACAAAGGTTGGACTTTCTTGGTACTCCAACAATTTTGGGAAGGCAACCTTGCTGTGTCACTCGACGACGATGATTCGCCATTTAACGACATTGGCATCGGCGTCCTCGGCTATTGCATATACAATTCCGTGCCCTCCTACGGGTTACCACTGAGCAGATGGCCTGGTTGTTTCAACACAACTTCGACTTGGTTTCGATCACCATAGCATGTCTCCGCGCTTCAATTTGGATTGAACCACGCGATGTCGTAATTGTCCTCTCACCCCTTCTCATTTCTCCTTTGTAATGACCGTGTCCTCGTTGGTGACGCCTCAACACCCTCCGTGCTACCGTGGTAGTCTGCCTGCTCCTCCAACGTCTGATGCCTTGTCTCTGGAATCAGTGGGGTGGTGAGCACTCCACAATGCATGAAGAAAGTGAAAACTTCCATGACGTGATTCGGACACTTATTCGTGCCAGTTTCATGTCTTAGGGGTCCAATCGAGCCCTGAGCGAGAACAGTACCGTCTTTTCCCGCAGCGGCCGAGATACCGCGCGCTGTCAGTCGAAGGTGTATATGATACTCTTCAACAAGGATTAAAGAAATTAGCTCTCAGCGGTGATATTTCGCTAGGCTAATGGCCTCTGCAATGAATATCGTAGGGTCTGCCCTCGACGTTGGAAAGAATTGGCAAAGGCCGTACAACGCTAGGGGCGCATATACCGACGACAGTGAGCTGGCCATCTCACGCGGTTTACGGCCGACTGTGTCGATAAGCGCAATCGGAAGCCGATATATCGGGATGGAGCCGGGATGGCTCGGATGAGATTGCTGACGGTCTTATTGTACAGATTATCGTAGACATTTTCAGGAATCGTTCAAGCCCAGGCCCCAGAAGCAACATCAATGGAAAACCATGACCCTGCTGTTCCGAGCAGATCTTCCCATATCTCCATTGCCAAAACCAGCCGACCGATTCAGACCATGTTGCAATGGGTAGTTCGTTCCCCCGACGACTCTCCAACGTTGGCGTGACCTTCCTTCGCCTGTCCGTTTCACTTACCACGAAGATAAGCTCGAACATTCGATTTCGCCTTTTAGCACCTAAGGTGATATCTGCAGCGTACCGTAGTGTCGGGGATTGTCAAACGGAAGTACACCGCTGCAGGAGCTAGGACGTGCACGAAGGCAACAATACTGCGCCACGTCCTATCGGCAGCGAGCATTACAGTCAACTGAGGAGAGACAACGTCGAGATCAAGCCCAGCTGTTGATCACCGAGCTTAGTCTCCATATACCATCGACGATCAAGGACTTTTTGAGTCCGTGGTCCATAAGTATACAATCGATTGGCATGTAACAATATGCTCGGTCATTGGTTGAAATAGCTCATAAGACGAAAAGGTGTACCGAGGCCGCATGGTTCTTGAAATGCGACTTTCCTTCGAAAACCTTTCCACGGCAAGCCACCTTGTCGGGGCAAGGAATTCGATCCTTTTCTTGAAAGTGTCGTAGGCGACAGCGTTCTGTATGTCTCTGGAGGGAGTGTTTACCGGCATACCGCTTCTCCCGATCTTCCTGGGGGAGATTACTGCATAGACAGAAGAGGCATTGAAATCCCTGACAGGCCAACGGCACGCAGCCTTCGGGCGGCGACGAGAGCGGCAGAGTCGGCGTAGAGACTACAGTAGTCGCTGTATCTGTTTCTCCTGTGGAACGTGAATATTTCCTAGACAGTCTTTCACGTCGTGTTTCACGTCGCCCTTCACGTTGTCGACATAGTGAGATCATGGTTGCGGAACATTTTATGTGCCGGGACAGAGCCTTGGGACCGGTGAATACAGCGGGGTCGCTCATGGCCGCTTCCGCAATCTGCCGTCGTTCAGGGATTTTGATCTGGGTCGGGGTGGACTCTGTAGTAAGCTCTTGCCCTTCAGCTGAGGTTCCTTTGATCTGTCGCTGAATCGCCTCAACAGGAGCTGCTTCGTCGTACTGCCGCTGAATACACTTCAACAGAGCTCGTTCCTCAGCTCGAATCGTGCTGTTAACCATACATTCCAACTTCTTGTACTCGGCATGGATTGGTTCTCCGATCGCCATTCGAAGAAAGCCAAACTCCCGAACGATGACACCACGAACCCGATCTCGCGACTCCAGAAGCCGGCGGACAGAAGGCAATCGTCGAACCTGCTGACTCTGTTCGGTGGTCAGCTTTCTTGGCCGGTTCGGATCGCGGAGACGGCCGATGCGGCTGGCTGATTTGGCCGCCTGCGGATTGGCCTCTCGGTTCCAGAACGCGTCTTGTGTACTGTAGCGGATCATCCGAGACAGGTAATTCCGTTCGAAGATCGTGGAAGATCCAACATGATCTAGGGCAAGGTTGCGAACAGCGGCGTTGGATTTGGGATCATCTGATCCAAGTCCCTGCGTTAGCAGTTTGAACTCTGCTCAGAAGAACTATTGGAGAGGATCACCTACCATTGATGGCGTTGCCCAGAGCTCGGCGGAGGCAGTACGTCGTCAGTGTCTGTAGGTAACCCAACGCCTCACCTAGACGCTTGACCCACGCCTGATAGACGTTGTAGGTTAGAGCTCTGTCTGGCGAGGTCTTGACGCCTTCCTTGGTGGCGATCGCACGGCGAAAAATAGGCACCTCAAGCATCTCCTTTCTCCACGGGATCGGCTGACATCCCTTTTCCCGCCGCGCCCGGAGACGGAAGAGAACATCGGGTGACTTCAGATCGGGCGGCCCGAAAGCCGAGTCATCGAAGGCCAAGCTGACAATGTGGGTGATGACACAGAAGATTGGGTTGTCGTCCAAATTGAAGGTGTACGTTTTCCTTTGTAGCAGGGTCAGCCGTAAGAACTCCCCAACCGAGGGGTACTCACGGTCGTTTCCGCTTCTGGCGGGACTTAGTCTTGGTCAATTTCACCCCCAAGCGCAGCATGTCGACACGAGTCTCGGCGTCCTTCTCAATGTAGAGGTCCAGGTCGCGGTAGGTCAAGTCCAACAGGGCTTGAGGTCGAGACCCGGTGAACGCTGCCAGCAACAGAATCGCCGCCAACTGGAGTCGTTGCCGTTCATTGGGAAACCAGTTGATATCCGAGGCCCAGTGGTAACGGATGAGCTCGACGAAATCGTCCGCCTCCATGAGAGGCTTCTCGATCTCCTCATTGTCCAGGCCATATTCTTCCGTCAATGGCCCTTCAATGAACTGTAGCTTCAGCGGTCTGGCGGCATACAACATTGCTTGTTTGACGTACCACGAAGATCTGCCTCATGACAGCCGGGTCCATCCGACGCTGTGTCCACATGATGTACAGCTGACTCAGTTGCCGCCAGTAGGTCGTCAACGTACTGGTTTTCTTGATGGTGTAGGTCCGGAGCAACCAATGTAGGAAGTTCTCCATCCGAGCCGTGGCGCACTCGCGCAGGGTCT